AAAATGCTGGGAAACCTCAGAATGTATATGTTTTAAAAAAAATTGAACAAAACTGTTGTTTTTCGGATTTATTTGGCTCCACTTTGTGCGTTGCCGGCAGAGGGTCAATGACCGCCGCAACAACTACAGCTGTTCGCACAGCGAGAGAGCCGAGTAGTACTCACAAAATCCCAGCATTAACAACGCTTTGAACCGAGTACACGAACATATATCGAGCAAAAACCACAAGAATAAAACGTAAAGAATGAGACAAGACAAAATAGAGTCATAAAAATATTTGCCTATACGCATAGCTAATCCCCATGCAAAACAGAACCTATGCTATTGGAGACAAAGACCCGCAAGCACAAAAGGAAATAGAAAGAATGTGTGCGCGCAGCCGCCGTGCACTTGTCGCTGCAAACATAAACCAACAACAAACGCAAGCGCGAGCCGTGGCCAGCTGCTGCTTTATCTACACCGCTGTAGTCCAAACGTCTCGGCTCTGCACTCTACACCAAACAAAACGGGAATGCTTCTTCTGATATCACTCGTGGCCTGGGGAATTTCTTTGGTCAAGATCAACCCTAGTATGTCCAACTCGACGACAACTCATCAGAAGCAATGGCTAAGCCTCTTGCATCAACTTTCAAACGTGGCCAGGGTTTCGTTTATAAACGAGATTACCTCTGTCGTCCTATGCGCCCGAAAGACCATGCTTATGAAGCTTGCCTAAGAAAAGTAGGGTATAATTGAGATTATTGCACTTTCGTAATGCACTTCAGACGTGGCCGGATGAGAAATCGAAACTTCTTCTTCCGTTTTCCGAATCGTCTGATGGGCACTTTACTAGGTGCTGATTAAAGAAGATAATATTCAACAATGACAGCCACAGCTCCCCAAATGTTTGGGTAGCTGCTCCACAAGATCCAACGATCTATATTGGGCTCTGCTGCCTTTGCTGAATTGGAAAATTTTGAAAATGGAAAAGGGATGTAATAGTATATATGGTGTCACACCTGAACAGGTGTGGCCCCACGTTGGGCGCCAATTTTTAATTATGATGATTTATCTTCATAATTCATAAATGTAACGTTTCATGAACACAAATATACAAATTATGCCAGGCTAGTTGTTGGTCAGCGAGGGGAAGCGCACGCTTAAGGTTTCCGGCTTCTGCTCGTCGGCTATTGGGGTGATGATCTTGCCCCCCTCATGCTGGTGGCCTATACTCATCCTACCAAAAATGAAGTAGCGTGCTACGACGAAAACTTAACCGGGAGATACTACCTATCCCTGAATACAAGAAAAAGCTAGGGTCTGTGCTGCGAAGAGTTTCGACTCCGTCTCTGGTGTTAATGAGACTGTCTCGCCCGCCCTACCTTGGCCATTCCAAGCCGCCTTCATTGAAAATGGAAAGGCCCCTTTTGCCTAGGGACGCCTACATGGGGAGGGTGCTAGTTAAGGCAAAAAAAAAAAACATTAAAACATTACAAAATATATTCTGAATTCTATAAAAATGAACTTACTAACATACTTAAACTACGATATGCACGAGAAATAAATAATAAAATGAACGCATATAAATAAATAAGAACAAAGGATGAATAAATATGAATAAATACGAATAAATGATCAAACCGCTGATCGTTGTTAGGACAATTTTCCCGATCTGCGACCATTGGCTTGCAAAAAGTGTTACGCGTAAACTTTGATGGCAGAGGATGGGCTAGCGCATGATTAATTATGTCCGCGAATAAATATATTTCTGCTGGTTTTGGTCTGTTGTTAAAAAAACGCAGCCTTATGTGGCCATAACAGCACTCACCCTTGTCAGGAATCCATCGACGAAAGCGCTCTCACCGACGTATTGCTTAACGGAGAGAGGGGAGAGAAAAAATATCGAGATGGAAGGAAAATATTCTAAGCGCGCACTCCCTGACCTCTCGCTCTCATCGCTTACTGCCAAAACACTCTAATCTTGCTGGGACACCAACCAAAACGTTAAAGCTTAAAACTATTTTTTTTCTTTTGAACTAAACGTTACAAAAATCACACAAAACAAAATTAATCACAAAAAAAAATGAAATTCTCTTGGGCATCTGGTATGCCTCTGGCCACCCGCCGTCCGGATCCACACGGGGGTCTCTCGCGATTCCTTTGCGGATTCCCTCGCTCCCAATAGCGCAGGGTCGCCGACGCAGCTGTCTCCTGCAAGGTTCACGGGCACTAACTAGCCATCCGCTGAGCACTAGCTCTGCCTGCTAGAACTTCGGCTAATCTTCCCTCTTTCCCTTTCCCCCTACGCTGCTACTTGCGAGCGCTGCTGGTATTTGGCGTATAGGGAGGCACAAGGGAGACAAAAAAATGGGCTCGTCCGAGCTCTGCGCGTGTCAACTGCCGCCTATATGGGTGATGGAGCGGGACTCCTCTGCTGATCTTCTCCTGGACACGGGAGCGATCCTCCAATCCAGTGTCCAACTGAGGGCACCTCTTTGCGGCGTCGCCTGTGCCCAGCGACAGCTAACGAGCGCCAAGATCTGCACGAAGCGATGGAATTAGGCGTTGCCGCCCTCAAACTTTGACTATCCATGCTCACCAATTCAACGCCTCTTCGCCAAATAAATCTTTTCCTTCTGGACTTTTTCACCGTCACGGCGCACTTTACTTGTGCGTATACGCGTATTATAAAATTAAGGGAGTTTTTCCACTCCGCACAACTGCACTGACTGGGGGACCAAAAGCGAAAGACCGAGCTAGACGCTTCCGTTTAAGCGCCAACCTCATGGTCTCGAAAAGGTTAAAAGGGCCACTGAGTGAAAGGCCTGACATTTGCCCCTGTTACTCTCTTTTCCTCCGAAAATTCCTTGACCCGATCATCCAATCTGAGCCCTAGAGGGCGCCACCTGACCTTCCCCTGGCCGACAGAGAGCGCCACCCGCTAACACTCTAGATGCTGCTACAAGCGTTACAATGGTAGGAAAAGCAACGGTACATAGCGTTTTGCCGTGCCGAAGATAGCAGATGCAAAAACTTAAAATTATTGCATGCCCATATTGCCAAAATTAAAGTTATTTGAAACGAATTCTTTGTGGTGTTTCTCACATCGCATGCATGCAACCGTAATGTGCCACAGTGAATAGTGGCAAGGTGTTTATTATGTATATGATTTCTTATTCAGGGGGCAAGGCTCCAAATGGAAATTTCACATAATTTCTACACAAAATTGGTCGATAAAAGTATGCTATGTGTTGCCTTCCCTGTTTGGTATCATGACAAGGCTCCAAGTCAATTGTTTGAATTCATTTTTGGTTTTTATAAAGTACTTTAATCCTTGACTAGTTGAAATAATTATTGTTTCTCATCGTCGAAATATGTTGAACTCTCACTGTTGAGCTACTGTGCTTCATAAAGCTTTATAAAGCATAGAGCTTTATAAATAATGGCACAAGATTTGGGTTATTTAAACGTATATATATGTATATGTACATATGTGTTTATTTCCCGTGGGAGGCGATGGGGTAATTAATTAAACAGGCGAACTTGGAACTAGACCGTGTTTATGTGATAACAATTACTTTTAGTTAGTAAAAAATGCGTGGCACTCAGATCACTGAGCCAGCTCGCGACAACGAAAGAACCAACTGATAATGTCGACGATAGAATTGAAGACAAACTGCCATTCAGACGAGCCTCCTCAGTTGACGAAAGTCGAGACAGGATAACTGAGAGAGTAGGCAGAGGCAAGCCAACAATTTTAATAATAAAAAATACGTTATTTACCGTATGCTAGAAAAGAGTTAGATGAAGTTCAGTCTTAAGAGATAGTTGTCTTGTGGCTGCCATGGCCGGCGCTTAGCCGAACACTCACTTCCCGCTAGACATCGCTAGATAGGGTATTTCACCCTGGGCTACGGCTACGTACGTCTTTGGATTGTGTTAGCGGATTGGCACTCCTGCACAAAATTGTACACCAATATTTACACCCTGTTGGCAAATATTTAAAGCATATTTATTTATTTATTTAGCATATACATTCTATATATCATTTAAATTAAAATAAAATTTAAATTCAGAAATGATGACTTGAATGGCTTTCGCATTGTACTCAATCTTACACTCATTGTTAATCTCTTCCATTACATTTGTCATGAACTCACCACAGTAGATGTTTATACTCAGTGCTCATACTCCTGGAAACATAATAAATAATTATTGACTGGTACTCAAACGAACCCCATCGACTTGTGTTTATTCACGGATTTCTTCGGAGTTCTTCGCATTGAATCTAATTCGTTTATTGAAGATTATCACAGCCCCAAAGTGACCAAAGTTTGCAACGCACAGAAGGTAATATCTCCGACCCTATAAAAATCGGAGTCTATATAGCCATTTCCGTCAATCCATCCGGCAGATAGTCTCTTAGTTTTAGATAAACGTTGTAAGTACTAAATTCCTTTTCAAACATGGCATTTATTCGAATGTGTCATAAGGAGGTAAAGGTTACATTTTATAAATAAGCAAACACCCATGCACAGGGGGAACATAGGCACTCAGATAATCATGTAAGAGTACGGATATACGAGTATGCATATGTCATTAATGTTTCGATGCAATATGCAAATGAAAGGCAAGGGTTTAAGCTATTACGAGTTTAGCACACCCAACTCTCTGATTGCATAAGCCTGCATTTCTGAACAAGTCGGTGCCGTCCCGTCCCGTCCCGACTGCCCTGCCCTGCCCTGCCTAAATCACACAGCATACGCCGCCTAATTCCCTAATTTGAATAGATTTACACATTCTGCGCCCTACAAATGTGTAAAGTATTTGATCCAATTAAAAATCGACGGTCAAATTAACTGGAACATGCCGGAAAATGAAACGAAATTCGGCCGATTGAATTTCCAAACCACCTGCCCCACACCGTTGTGGAATGTGCATTTTCATCTGCGGCCAGAGAGACACTTGCTGCAGTATAAATACGGCCCGCGGTGCAATTTTGAGACAAAGGTAGCTAGACAGCCACGCAGCACACACATCCAATCTTCCCAGCCTTCTGGTGTGCATCCCTCAAACACTCGTCCAATATGCGCGCTTTTCTGGTGAGTTCTCAGTCTAGAGTATTTCCTCTGAATGATGGTCTCTAATGTAAAACCCAACCACCCCAGATGCTTTGCTTGGTGGCCATCGTCCGGGGCCAGTACGACTATACGCCCAGTTCGCATGCCGGGGACGGCAACGGAGGACTTATTGGAGTGTCCAGCAGTGGTGCTGCCCAGCTCTCCGAGCCCATACTCATTGCCAACGAGTTCAACAAGGAGTTCTTCTCATACAGCGCCCCAGAACAGGAGTACGACAACCCGCACGCCAACGAGCAGATTGCCAATTCGCTGAAGAAGAACCTGCGAGTCCTCTTCATCAAGGGGCCGGAGAACACGGGTCTAGAGCAGGCAGCACTCCAGCTGGCCACCTCGGCCTCCGACGACCGCACCGCCATCTACGTGCTCAACAAGCAGGCTGACATTGGGGATCTGACCAACAAGCTCAACCAGATCAAGGTGCAGGCAAACAACAAGCCAGAGGTGCACTTTGTCAAGTACCGCACGCAGAGCGACGCGGAGAATGCTCAGCGGACTATTCAGGCTCAGTACGACTCGCTGCCTGGTCCTTCCAGCAACCACAATGCGGGCTCCTCGTCCCCGGTCCTGGACTTTGCCTCCAAGGGTGTTGTCAGCGGCATCTTGGGAGGTTCCGGTTCTGTGCCCACTGGCGATCTAAATGCACCATCGACTAGCGCGTATTTGCCACCACCCAACCGAAGGTTTTAGACATAAGAAACGTATCCTCTAGATGTATATTAGTAATAAAATAAATTCTTATTTGTATATTAAAGAAATTGATGAGCTAAATTGTGGAATGTCTAAGCTAACTAAAGCTAAATTTCAGCAAACAGGGTAAGCCTGGAGGGCGAAGAGACTCCGGAACATATCCTGGAAAACTGCCCAGCAGACAGCAGATGTGTGAGTAAATGTGAGTATTTCGTATATCTCACAGTCGCGTCTAGATGTGGAGAATTAACTAAAAATAATCATAACATAAATAATAAAATGTACCCGTACCATTTCCAAGTTCATTATCAATCCGACAAGTATTAACGTAGAATCATAATTACGAGGGAAACAGCCGACCTAACCACTAAAATAAAGAAATTTTGGATTTTTTTCTTTTTATCTTTCAAAGTAGGATCCTTTTGACTCCATATGATTTTTCCAGAAATTTTCCCATTTTTTTATCCTTTTCCAAAATTATGATTTTTTGAGGTCTCCAAAATATGCATTTTTGTGAGATGACTTTCATCATTGGACTGAAATCTCTTACCGCCGAGTCATTTCTTAAGGTTTGGAAACAAGAAACAGTCATTAGGGACTAAATCCATAGAATAGGGTGGGTGAGGGAGCAATTCGTAGCCTAATTTATAGAATTTCGCAATGGAAACTGGACATGTCTGCACCCCTGCATTGTTCTGGTGGGAAAGATTTTTTTTCTTGGCCAAGTGCCGTCGTTTATTTTTCGAATCCTCATTAAATCGATCCAATTAGTTGGCATAAAATTCGGCATTGCCTGTTTTACTCTTTCTAACGGTAATCAATAATTCTGAAGAAAACCCCACCTTGACCTTCTTTTGCCTAGAATCACCCTGAAAAACCATACTGTTTGACTGCTTTCGTCTCTGGTGTTTTGTGGTGGATCCACGTTTGCGAAACAGTGAAAAAACTCGTCCTTATTGTGGTTAAACAAAGCCTAACACTCCTTCGTAGTTGTCACATTTATGCTTTTTTGATCGATTGAAATGCCTACACATCCAGCTAACTCAAGAACTTCCAATCGCCGATCATCCAAAAAACATTTTTTTAATTTGTGCCACCATTTCTGATGAGCTCACCTCATTTGTTCACCCATTACGATGTTCATCTCGCAGCTCGAACGACATCGCTTAAACTCTTCTAGCCAATATTTTATTGTTCTTAACGAAGGAGCAGAACCACCCTAGACAAAATCCTGCTCGGCTTATTTTTGGTTGGACTAAGACCTTTCAAATGAATGTATTGAATCACAAAACCATGACCAATTTGGTCCATGTTCTAAATCAATTTAGAATATTCTCTTTTAAAATCGACCCAAAAAAACTGCGCAAGGTAAGGGCACCAAACTCTAAACTTAGGCTTTTAATAGTCGGTACTTCCTCTTTTTAATATTTTTTGTAAGCAATTTCAAACGTTACTATGTTACGTCGGCTATTTCTGGGACGGCCCTCGTAAGTGCCTGAGGGGTAAATTAGATTTTTGGTAAAAAAGAGAAGAAAACGTTACCGACCCCATAAAGTATCAATAGTATCAATAGAGTCGATATAGCCATGTCCGTCTGTCCGTCCGTCCGTCCCGATGAGCGCCTAGATCTCGGAGACTATAAGACCTAGAGCAACCCAATTTTGTTTCCAGACTCATGTGATATCACACTGCTACACGTTTATTTCAAAATTTCGCCCCGCCCCCTTCCGCCCCCACAAAGGATGAAAATCTGTGGCAGGCACGATTTTAAAGATACGATAAAACTAAAAACGCAGTATAGAACGACCATATCTACCAGACTTCTGAATGTGAATCAGATCGGATTATAATTATAGCCAGAATGAAGAAATTCATTTTCAGCTGCTTCCCCCACGCACTCCTGGAAGAAACACGCTACTCATTCTCTTTCTGCTCGCACACTCGCCTCGTTATGTACGCGAGCTCCCTCTAGCGGAGAAGATGTAGAATATACATTGTAGATGTAGATAACAGATGTAGAAAAAAAATGAAAAATGCAATATTTTTTTTAGATTCTAAAATTTTAAAAAAATTATAAGCTCAAAAATGTATATACTAACTGAGTACGGGTATAAGTAGAGTCGCGTCCTGAGAAGCGGCTCACACGTTCCTTCTCGTTGTTTCCAGACTCATGAGATTTCACACTGAATCAAGTTTTTTATTCAATGTTTTAAATTCACTAAGGACGAAAATCTGTGGCATTTACAATTTTCAAGGTACGATAAAACGAAAAACGCAGGATCGTAGAAAATAACCATATCTACCAGATTGCCGATAACAATGGATTATTATCATAGCCAGAATGAAGAAATTAATAATTAATAGCGAAACCTCCTCCAGCGCTGCAGCCGATACTGAATCTCTTTCTCGCTCACGCACTCTGCCGACTCTGTGCTCCCTCTCGCGGAGGAGATGAATAGTCTAAATTGTAGATGTAGATGAAAGATTTAGCAAAAAAATGAAAACTGATCTTAGTACGGGTATAAAAGTAGAGTCGCGGCCACAGAAGCGACTCAAAACGTTCCTCCTCGTTATTAGTCATTAAAGTTTTACAAAAAGCTATTTCCTTTAGTACAGAATAAAACAGACTGAAATCAGAAATTTTTCTGTGCTAATACTTAAGTTCGCCCATGTATGTAGTTGGGCAATAAACATTGGGCAACATGTCTATATTTCCAAATAAAATGAAAAAAACCTCTTGAAGACCAGCACTTCGTTAAAATAGTATCTAACCGCTTATTAATGCTTCTTGATCTAAGCTAAGAATAATAATTTCAAGTACTTGTACAGTACAGACAACACCCTCATCATCCTCACCACAAAAGTCTGATAATGTTAAACAGAAATTGGATGTGTGACGGAATGAAATCTTTTTCACCGTGAATAGTTTTATTGAAATTAAAGCAAACAAAAGGTGGGATATCCCGAAAGCTGCTTTCTTTGGCCACAAACAAAAGTTTGGTTATTTCTGCGTTTGTCTATTGGTTTTGTCTGCGCTTTGGGTTGCAAATGTGCTGATGATTTTGTACACTAAATACATTTAGCATAAACTAATTTATGTGCAGGGGACTACGCTAGGGGGGGAGGAGCTTATCTGGTCCGGACTGCTCCCCACCTCTCAGCGTATAAGCAAGCCGGATCGTCTCCCACGACTTGGGCGCACCTGCGTTCGTTTCGTGTGTGCGTGATAGGGTCTGGTCTACCTGTCTACAGACATGCATAAAAAATGACTTTCTTTCGGTCTTCCTCGTTTTGTCAACCGATGCGAGTCTTTAGCTATTAATTTTTTTGCATTTATTTAGATTCAGCGATGACAATGGAAAATATTAGACGATTATTCAAATTTAAATACGATGTTGGTGTCCGAGATGGAAGGTGGCGGCTGGCGGCTGGAGGCTGGAACTGGGCCCGAGTTAGATAACAGCCCACATCGCCTCTGCGATGCATCTTCGGATATGGATCCGTGATTTGCCAACAGCTAACGAGGCGGGTTACATATTCGCTGCCGCCTGGCCTGGGCGACAATAGATTCGATAATTTTATAGCAGTGCATAAATGTTTGTTTCTTTTTTGGGAAACGAAATGGCATTTCTAAAGCCTCGACTCTTTCCAGTTGGAGTCTTATAAAAACATTGCTGTCGGGCAGCCAGGGCATCAGTCGACCTCTGCAGTTCAGCCAGTTCGAAGTGAAAATGAAACAGTTTGCTGTTCTATTGGTAAGTGATTGCCTCGAAGAGGTGTCCCGTACCCCCCGCAGCTGCTCATGCTCGTTCCTCTCGTTTGCAGTGCATAGCAGCTCTCGCTGCAGCCGCCCCCCAAGGCTACAAGTACCAGCCACAGGGCCCTGCGCTTCCCATCGGCAATCTGCGTCCGCAGACGCCCCTGTCCCCTAGTGGAATATACTCATCCGCTGCCGGCCCTGCCCTGGGACAGATCACCGTGCAGTCCCAGCAGCCAGCTATCCAAACCGTGCAGACTAGTGCCCCCATTCCTGTGTCCCAGCCCCAGGTTCAGCAGACATTGATCAACTCTCTGCCACAGCAGACCGTGTTCAATACCGTGCCCCAGCAGAACCTGATCCACAATGTGCAACAGCCACAGCAGCAGCAGCAGCAGCAGATTGTCTACCAGCAGCCCCAGCAGACCAGCAGATCCAGCAGATCCAGCATCAGCCCCAACAGATCCAACAGATCCAGCAGATCCAGCATCAGCCCCAACAGATCGTGCAGACACAGTACGTGCAGCGTCCCGCTATCGTCACCAAGGACATTTACATTCACTCCGCCCCCGATGAGACCGAGGAGATCCGCCAGGACGAGCCCCAGCTCGACAGCCTGCCCATTCGCAAGAACTACCGCATTGTGTTCATCAAGGCGCCGTCTCAGAACCTGAAATACACCGCCGCCGCTCTGAAACGCGCCCAGTCGAGCAACGAGGAGAAAACCGTCATCTACGTGCTGTCGAAGAAGCCAGACCTCACCGAGATCCAGCAGCAGCTGCAGGTCACTCAGACAGAGTCTAAGGTGCACAAGCCCGAGGTCTACTTCATCAAGTACAAGACCCAGGAGGAGGCTCAGCGCGCTCAGCAGGAGATCCAGGCTCAATACGATGCTTTGGGTGGCGCCACCCATATCTCGGACGAAGGCGTTGCCCCCATCACCAGCGTCTCGGGTGGCTCCCTCAACCTGGGCCACATCTTGTCCCAGGTGCAGGCGCCAAGCATTGTCCAGCAGCAGCAGCAGCCCCAGATCCAGACCATCGTTCAGCAGCAGCAGCAGCAGCCCATCCTGCAGCAGAATTCCTATGTGCAGCAGACCTCCTCCTTTGCATCCAGCGTGCCGTCAAGGAAGTATGTGCCGGCGAAGAGCTTCAAATGAGCTGAGTAGGCGCAGCCCTGCCGCCAGCCGCATATCGTCCATTATTATCAACAGTCGCCACATTCTAGCTTATTCTAATTTATTGTAAACGCGATTATCGAGGCAAAATAAAGCAATATTCAACAAATACTCAAAAAAGCTATACACACTCGTAGGGTCTTGGATCTGTGTAGGGGAAACCTGGAATGCTGTTAATTTTAGTTTTGTTTTGTTTTGATGCCATCCACGTTGGTGTCAATGAGGTTATGTAATACTCGATTTTTACCTCTCCTCTAAGCAAGATGCTCTGCACCCTGATATGCTCATTTAGTAGCTGCACCGATAATCAAGATTTCATTTCGCTTAATCGACATTATGTAAGACAAATCATATGCTAATTAATGCGACCGGTTTCTCTTGCTGCTCGCTGCTCTTGGCCGTTAGCCATTTATCATTGGACTAATGGATATGTGGTAATGTGAAGCCATAGAAAACCATTTTGATCGACTCTTTTGACAAATTTTTGGGAGCCTATGGCTGGCCCATAAATAGTCACAAGGGAGCATTGCCCAATCTCCCATCTCCAATCTTCCATCTCCAATAGCAATAATTGTGAAACATATGAATGCTTTGAGAGCTGTCGGAGGATGGAACAGAATAATATGTATTTTGGTCTTAATATTTACAACATAACATTGGGATACTTATAAGTATGACAGTCAGCTTAAATTACGTTTGCCTATTCCTATGCGCGCAGGTGGGCGGGCAAATATCTGTTGGGCACGACGCCCGACAGCCCCCCGATAGGTGCCGGTGCCCCTCTGGTACGCTGACTATCCAGAACTCCAATCACCGACGTGACTGGCGCCACTCCTTCGTCCGACACCTGCGAAGTTCCACCCAGCTGGTCGTATTGAGCTGCAAGAGAGAAGAGCCATCAGTGAGAAATGTGTCTATGGTGAGGGAGTGCGACGCGTCGCAGCATAATGGACGCGATGACAAATGCTGCGGCCTTCGCCTTGGTCTCGAACAGCAAACAGCAATAAAAGCTCGATGCATATTAATGAGGCACTCAAGAGTGGCTGGCACGGTGCGGGTGAGGGTGTGGGTGTGGGTGTTGCCTACCTTGGATGGTGCGCTGCGCATGCGCAGCTTCCTCCTGGGTCTTGTACTTGATGAAGAACACCTCTGGCTTGCTGGGCTGCTTGGGCGCGACCTCCTCCAGGGCAGTCTGCAGGTCCAGAGGATCGGGCTTCTTGGTCAGCACATAGATGATGGTCTTCTCCTCCACTGGGGCCTGCTTTATGCGCAGTGCAGCCTTGCTGACACTCGGCGTTGGCGCCTTGATGAAAACGATGCGGTAGTGCTTGCGTGGTGGCGCAACCGGCAGGGCGGGCTGTGGATAGTGCTCCTCGGGATCCTCTGCGGGCGGCACATGAACATAGATATCCTTAGAGACAAGATGTTGCTGTTGCTGTTGCTGCTGCTGCTGATACTGTTGCTGTGGTTGCTGATACTGTTGCTGATGGGGCAGCTGGTTGTACGCAAAGTTTCCATTCAGCTGCGTTTGCTGTGGCAGGACGGACTGCTGCTGTTGCTGCTGGTAGAGCGGAGCCTGGATCTGCTGGGGCGCCGATGTGTAGCCTCCAGACAACACCTGATGCACTCTGGGGGTCTGCAGCGCCTGCTGAAGGAGGTTCTGCTCCGCGATGGTGGCGATCTGGGGAATGGCGGGCAACTGCAGCAGACCAGCACCAGCCTGCGACAGTTGGGTTTGCTGCTGCGCCTGGTAGTTGTACCCTTGGGGCACGGCCACAGCCAGGCCCAGAAGGCAGGAAACCTAGAAAATGCAAGGGCAGAGTTATCTCTGTAAAGCTGTATATTGAGGCAGGGCAGCGGCGGCAGTGGTCCAAGGGCTGGCTTACAATGAAGGCACGCATTTCCGCTAGTGATGAAGAGAGATGTCTCGGCTCAGGCTCAGGTATGTAGCACCTGGACGCTTGGCAATCGCCGTTCAACTAAATGCTAATCACTGTCCGCCCGGACTTATAAGGCCCAGACTCGAAAGTGTCGCTCACGAAAAGTTTTGCCGATGAGACGAAGAGTTTAAATGAAACTGAAACTGAATCTAAGTCTGAGTCTGTGACCACAAACGCACCACCAAACCACACGAAGATGAAGACCACGACGAAGACGAAGAGCGTCTGCGAACACTGCCACTGATTTTTACAAACTGGCTTGCGTTTTCAAACAACCTTGAGATAGCGGTGACTATTGTGACCAGTCCAGTTACCGAAAAGCCTCTCGAAACACTCTCCAACTCCGCTATCGATCCGATCCGATCCGACACGCAAAGCCCTGCGTCATCTTTTGGCTCGGACTTGGACTTGGGCTCGGACTCGGGCTCAGACTCGGACACAAAAGAGCCATCTCGCCGGAAGTCATATACTCGAATGTGCATACATGAGTCCGAGTGTACGTATATACGTACACATGAAAGACTTTGTTGGGGTTCAGAAATTTTGCTAGCTTTCATCGCTTTTCGTATTCGTGATTGCAGATAGCCATATACATATGTACCTACTCGTACCTACATATATACATATATGTATGTACATATGTTGATGGCCGATTATGACTGACGAACCATTGGGATTAACAATTTTCAATAGTCACTGCATAAATCACACGATAGATAATTCCATTAGCAGTGGCGTCAACTTGAACAGCTTCGACTTCGGCTTCGGCTTTGAATTCCGATGACCCAATTATCGAGGATCATGGTTCGTTTAGCTGGGCTTGCAGATTTAATTGGACCAAACTTGGTTGCATAACTGGGGGCGACGTGTGTTGCCTTTTTGCAGCAAACAATTAAGGTAATTTTTGGCAAGCAGCCGCCGTTGCCGGCTGAATGGATGCCCATCATGGACTATGACGATGTGGGTTACATTTGCAGTAGGCACAGCATGGCAAGATGAATGATGATGATGCCCTGATGGATGGCTGCAGATTAATCAAAGCCCAAATGGTATCGGGGGTTAAGATGAAACACAATCCCCTCAAATGACCGCGTGGCGTGCGCTCCTATCTCCCCTTTCCCCTTTCCCCACCTACTTTCCTACCACTCTCGTGTGTACAATTCATCTAAAGAGCGATTGCGTAAGGGCTTATGTTGGGTTTTGTTTGTGTGGTGTGTGGTGTGTGGGGGCGTTACAAGGGGGGCGGGGCTGTGCAGTACGCAAATTGTGGCCATCCCCGACTGCTGTTCTCCCCACTGCTCGGTTTATTATTTATAAATACCAAATTGGACCGTCATTGGTTGGGGAATTATGCAATGATGCGAGTATTAAGACTCTGTCTTCGCTGGATCCGTTGCATAAACTTTGAATCCGAGACAAAAGTACTTTGTCTGCAGCGCCTCGCACTTTCGCATTTCGGACTTCGGATTTCGAACCACATCATTTTCTCTTTCGGGGCCCTTCGTGTGGGGGAAATTAACATGGTCAAGGCTTAGATATGTTAGATATGTATGTACATATGTATGTATGTACCAGTATGCGCAGACGAATTAAATAATTAAAATATTATAAAAGTGCCAAAGCGAAGGAATAATAAATTGGCAAAGCCATTCCAATTCCGATTCCAGCTGTCTGACTGGCGATGCACCCAGTGGCGTGGCTAAGTGTGAAAATGTGTTGAATGTGTTGCCTTAAAAATCAATTTCTCATTTTATTAACTCTGATACTTTAGTTTATTAGTTTTTAATTTTCGGTTTTTAATTTCGAAATCACGTTGTTTGCATAAATTAACATCCATCACATTCCCCATCCATCCGCAAGACCCCAATCGAATTGAAGCTACAACTTTCTAGCCACACAAAACCAACCCCCTTGTGGTGGGGTGGGGGCCCAAAGCTCAAAGTTTTCTTTATCATGTTTGGGTTCGGGCATCGAATAACAAACAGCCCATCGACGAAGCTTTCTGATGGCTGAAAGCTTGCCCATAAACTGTTCAAAATTAAATCGAAAAAATATACTATTCCGAGGCATGTTCGTGGAAGATATGATTGACTCTATGCGTTCGTTACGCGGACCCATCTGTCCGTACCAACAGGGAGATATCGGGCAGGATCAAGGTAATGAATTGGGCATGTAGACTCTAGACTTTAGACTCAACGTGAGTACCCATGTCAAGTCAAGCCTTGTCGAAATCAGCCAATCGAAAAACCCCTTGGAATGCTTCATTATAATCATTGTGGCTGCAGCACATAGAAGAGAGGGAAAACTCAATTAATATTCGATTGCTCATGAGCGATTAGCGCGGCTCACCTCTTATCACTTGTTTTTGTACAGATATTCTACTTCTAAGTCGTTTGAATGATGGCATTATTTGAATAGTTTGTGCCTGGTGGCTTCCAATTAGATTTCATTCCCCTTTCGTGCATCTAAAATTTGATGTATCGTTCAAGGTTCTTTAAAAGAATAATAAATACAAAGTCGACTTAGGTACACACCGTACCTGCATACATATTCGTTCATATGTATGTATGTATACTCGTATTGGAAAGTGCAAAACTAGTCGGTGAAATGACGAGCAACATCAATTTGCCGCCAATCATCGAAATATTTCCCAGAACTTGTTAGCTGAAGCGCTCGAACACATTTTCGGGCTTCGTTTCCCAATGGCTTGTCGTGTCAGGTGGCTTAAGGCCATGCCATGTCCCATCACCCAATGCGACTGCTTTGACTGCGTCTGAAGAAGAGTGAATATGGCATATTCATTAGTCTGCCTCTCCAGGGGGATGATGCAGTGGTGGAGGGGGGGGAAGGTGTCCCTGGCCCTTATCCCTGTTCATTCGTGTAAACGGCTCATTACACAAGCCGCAAAGTGTTCAGTGGGCCCAGCAGGGCCGCCTCAGTACATGAATATGAACAAAAGCGTTTCAAGAAATAATCAAATTTTCAAGAAAGTTGGGGCCAACCGCTAGACATGATAAATGGACATGGCGTTGCAGCTGATGAAGAAACGATCGCCAAGAAAAACACAAGCAAATACTCGGCCCGGCGGTTCATTAATTAAGCCTGACAATGCGCAGCGACTGAAGCCGGGGATGGGGCCAAAGAGTTGGGCTGTTGAGTAGCCGCGACACACGGGGCAGGAAGCCGAGATTCATGATTGACTCATCAGTGGTGGGTGAGCGTTACAGTTTCTAGCATTGGCTGCTAGTCCATGCTGAACCAAAATTGATTAAATGTTAAATGTTTGTGTGCAATTTCACTTTTAATAACTTTAATCGATGCGCTGTGCAGCAGTTGCCAAAGGCCCGAGTTGCGACTCGCAGCGTAATGACACCGGGCAACGTCTGGGCATCGAGGTATTGAGGGATCGGGGCTAACAATTAAGCTCTACAACAAAGAGTCGACTAGGGGAACCACGCTAATTGGCCATGTATCTGTCCGTCTGTGTCTGTGTCTGTGTGTGTGTGTGTGTGTGTGTGTGTGTGTATTGCCGGCAACTACAAGCAAGTCTTGCCATTTAATGAGGGATCCGAAGAGCGAAGAAGAGCGGCCCCGCGAAGGTAAATGGCGAAGAAGAAGAAGAAGAAGCGCCGAGCCACATGGAAGATGGGAGGAAAGCGAACTAAGACAAATACAATGAACATGCAACAAATTGATGCTGTGTGTGCTCTTTTTGGCAGCTTTGGCTCATACCTCGACTCCGACTCCGACTGCGACTCTGCCCCTGGCTCTGACTCGAATCTTTGCTGAACTTCACCTATTAAGTCTTCGAGTGCCGGCGTCGGAGCTGGAAATTGCGGGTGATGTATAAAAGCCGAGCGAACAGCGCATAAGTCATACAGTTCACAGCGAACAACTAAGGAAGTTATACATCCGTCCTCCTAGACCCACTCAAGCAGCTCAACCAAGCCCAGAAATGCGTGGATTCATTGTAAGGCGAAGGACGATGGACGAAGGACTGCGGCTAATTAACGGACTTAAACCTTATCCTCCCTTCTCTTGTTCCTCATTGCTAGGTCTTGTGCCTTTCCGCCATGGCGCTGGCTGCGCCCCAGGGCTACAACTACAATCCCGGCCCATCCGGCTTTGGCGGGGTCAGCACCGCCAGCGGCGGGTCCTCCTTCTTCCAGGGCAGTGCCCAGGCCGCTCCCGTGCAGCAGCAGCAGACCTTCTTCCAGCAGCCGGCTGTGCACCACCAGCAGCAGGTGCAGCAGGTCCAACAGGTGCAGCAGGTCCAGCAGCAGCACGTCCAGCAGCAGCAGCAGGCTATCGTGTCGAAGCGATTCTACATTCATTCGGCCCCGGAGGAGGCAGAGGACTACAAGGAGCGCCACATCACCGTCGGCGTGCCCAAGCGCAACTACAACGTTGTGTTCATCAAGTCGCCGCAGCGCAACAACAAGAAGACCATCAAGATCAGCCCCGCCTCCAACGAGGAGAAGACCGTCATCTACGTCCTGAGCAAGAAGGGCGAGAGCGACGTCCAGGCCGAGGTCGTTGAGCAGGCCAGCTCCACCAGCAAGCCAGAGGTCTTCTTCATCAAGTACAAGACCCAGGAGGAGGCAGCCCATGCGCAGCAGCAGATCCAGGCCCAATACGACGCCTTGGGAGGCAGCAGCCAGCTGACCGACGAGGGTGTGGCCCCCGTCACCTCTGTCATCGGCGCCCTGGGCGGAAGCGATGGACATGCCGAGGCTGGCGGTCTTGGCGGCACCGGAGCTGGCCAGATCATTTCCTCCGGCTCCGCAGGCTCGTCGCACACAGGCAATGCCTATCTGCCACCCAACTTCTAATCGGTTGAGCTGAGCAAACTCTAAGCAAACCCCTTCAAGCCCCAAAATTGTTATTAATAATAAAATGAAATCGTTGTTGAATTTAGCCGCTGACTTTCAATGGGAAAGAAAAACGAACTCGGCTCTCAGAGTCTCATCACTCAACCGAACCGAAATCATAATTGCTTACTCCCCTCCAAAAATGAATCCATTGCGAGACTACCACGAATTCGACTGTGCAAAAAATACCTCATAGTCATCATGGTGATTGAGGTCAGGGATTGAAGATGCGTAATAGTACAAATCCGAGTGGAGCTCCGGTCAATTTGGACGTGGAAGACTCATAGCAATATACAAAAAAGCGATTTGTGTATTTTATTATATTTTTAACTCTCAGCCGAAGCCTGCCATTGATTTGTCGCTCCTTGCCCATTTATTAGCCCTGGATATTGGAGAGACAACTAACACAAGACCAGTTGGAAATTGTTCCTTCCTCACTACTCGCATTATACCTGGTACCAATTAGCTATGGATTAGCTCCAGTGTACCTACATTCAAGTAGGAATATTAGGATAGGGCTCCCTTCATCGTACCAATTTTTCAATCAAAAGACTTTTTGTCACAATTATCACGTCAACATTTCATCGATATCGGGGCAATTATGGTTATTAGTTGAGAGCTAGGGGAGTCGTTGGCAAAACAAGTAATTAATTAATAAATAGGGTAATTAAAATATTCAAGCCGTGCGAGTATATATAAATAGCAGGTGTAACGGGCTTAGGCAACAGCCTACTAAGATAAGTCATGGCTCATACGAGTACACGTACGAGTACTAGTATATTCAAGCTGCAGGAGTACTGCCTGAGAGCGATGGGACACAGCCACGAGCCGGACAGCTCCGGCGGGTGGGCTTTGAGCCTCAAGCACGTTGTCTCCCTGCTCTTTGCAGCATCAGCGCAGTACCCCCTGATCCACAATGTGGTGCACCACCGCAACGACATGGAGCTGGCCACGGCCGGCCTGAGTGTGCTGCTCACCAACTTGCTGACCCTCTTCAAGATAGCAACTTTTCTCGTGTACAAGCAGGACTTTTGGCGCATGATCCAGAGCTTCAGGCAAATGCATCAGCAATGTAAATATGATTTGACATTAATTTATGCGCAATCTGTTCCCAATGCTAATTACAATGAGCCGCAAACTTTTGACAGCGAGTCGGAATGTTGGAGACGGCTACGGCTACGTGGCCGAGGCAAACAAGGTGGCCTCCCTGCTGGGCCGCGCATACTTCATCTCCTGCGCCGCCACAGGACTTTATTTCATGGTGTCGCCTATCCTGAAGATTATAGCCAACAGCTGGCTTGGCACAACATACGTTAGGGAGCTGCCCATGCCCTTGAGGTGAGCACACAGAGGCATTGACAGTCGGTGGAACTGATTCTCTAATTGAATCATGTTATCCGCTTCCGAATTCGCTCCCGGCAGGCTCCCATTCAACTATGTGGATAGTCCCGGATACGAAATCGGCTTCGTGTACATTTTGCTCGTTACCATCGTCGTTGTGACATACGCCTCTGCCGTCGATGGCCTGTTTATTTCGTTCGCCATCAATCTGCGAGCTCACTTTCAGACCTTGCAGCGCGACATTCGAGCTACGGACTTTGCTCTGCCCGAACAGCAGGTCCAAGAGGGCCTGAAGGACGTGGTCGACTATCATGTGCGACTGTTGTCCCTATCCAAGCTGCTTCGTGTGATGTATACGCCAATTGTGTTCGGGCAGTTCTTTATAACTTCAATGCAGGTCGGCGTCATCATTTACCAGCTCGTGACGGTGAGTAGAAGGATAGTAGGATAGTAGGATAGGATGCACCTGACCCGCGGGTAATGCTGTCCACGTTGTCCACTTACAGAACATGGACTCGGTCATGGCCCTCCTGGTGTACGTATCATTTTTGGGCTCCATCATGCTGCAATTATTCATATATTGCTATGGCGGAGAAATCATAAAAGTCGAGGTACCCCAAGGACACACATCCTGCATTGCTTCCTTCCTTCCTTCCTGGTTTTGTGGTAATATTAATTTGTGCTTGCCTTACAGAGTCATCGGGTCGATGTTGCCGTCCAGCTCTCCAACTGGTATCAGGCCACCCCGAAGCTGCGGCGATCCCTGGCATTCATCATACTGCGGTCCCAGCGGGATGTGCTCATCAAGGCTGGGTTCTATGAGGCTTCCCTGGGCAATTTCGTTGCGGTATTGCTTTTGAAGTGCGTAAAGCTGTCGTAGTCACATTCCTCTCCTTGCAGATTTGTCGGGCTGCCTTGTCGTTTATAACTCTGATCAAATCCATTGAGTAAATGCCGATCAAATAAGCACCAAGTAGCTGCTGTTATTAAAGAAGAAACTTGATAATATACTCAACCTTAGTCCAGATCCACCCTCATTCCCAATATTATATGACATTATATTGTATATTTAATCGGGCGGTGCACAATCTAAATAAATAGCGAAGCCAATACCCTCAATATGTATGCACAAATCTCTTATCGGTTTGTTGTCGCTCGTTAAATATTTAGTGGGTACATACGAGTATGTAGAGAGTAGAACGTTTACTACGTTATGTAAACGTAATCCAAAGGGGGCATATAAAGAGCAGCTCGTCAGCTCAGAGCTCAGCTCAGTTGAATACTCGTAGCATCGATTGTCAGTCCAGCCTTTGGGATGACCAACAGTGGGATAGCTTGGACGAAGGCGTTGAACCTCTCATTGACTCGATTGGAATTCTTGCAGATCTTACTCTCGCACTGTTGCAATTGCCGGTGGGCCCTGATGTGGCATTGAACGTGCGTCGAGCGGCGGAGGGCGTTGCACGGCTGAAGGCGGATAATCCGGAGCTGCAGCTGGCCATTCTGCCGGAGAGCTTCAACGCGCCGTACGGCGTAGAGTACTTTGCCAAATACGCCGAGTCGATACCGGATGGGGCCACATGCCAAGCGCTGTCGCGCCTCGCCCAGAAGCTGGGCATCTACATTATTGGGGGCAGCATCGTGGAGCGCGAGGCGGGGAAACTGTACAACACCTGCACCGTATGGGCGCCCAACGGCAGCCTCATCGGAAGGCATCGCAAGGTAAGCCGCCGCGGGCGCTCGTATCTAGGCAGTCCAAGTCCAGGGACTTACTGTTATCCTTGCAGATTCATCTGTTCACCATGAACATTGAGGCCGCTCACGCTGGGGGCGTGCAGTTCGACGAAGGGGCTGCTCTAACGGCTGGCTCAGAGCTGACGGTGGTGAAGATTGGCCAGCAGAAGGTCGGCATTGGCATCTGCCACGACAAGCGCTTCGAGGAACTGGCTCGGCTCTACCGCAACATGGGTGAGGCTTTAGTTCGCATACCATTAACGATAAGATAATGGATACAAGTTTCCCCCAGGCTGCTCCATGCTGGTCTATCCATCCGCCTTCTGCATCTGCCAGGGGCCCATGCACTGGGAGCTTCTGCAGCGGGCCCGGGCCACGGACAATCAGCTCTTCGTGGTTACCTGCTCGCCCGCCAGGGACAATATGTCGGGCTATGTGGCCTATGGCCACTCGATGATCGTGGACCCCTGGGCCCGGGTGCAGCGCGAGGCGGGCGAGGGATGTGAGTTCATCGTGGAGCGAATCGGTGAGTTTGGTCACTCGTACTCGTACGTGCCGCAGGCCTGACTCAGCAGAGCACTTTCTCCCCCGCAGACTTTGACATGGTGGAGCAAGTGCGTCGCCAAATTCCCATTTACCAGCAGCGGCGCACCGATGTGTACGCTGCGGCCAGAGCCGACCCTTAAAGCTCGGCCCCACAGCGAATTTCAATTAAATAATGAATAGAGAACAATTAATAGCAGCGGGAGAGCAGCGGAGCAGTTCACTGATACGACTTGACATGCTTATCGCCACAGAAACAGAAACTGAAACTGAAGCATACAAAATTATGAAAAACAAAACGGAACGCTACGTTCGTACATATCACATTATATTCCGACTTGAAGGTACCCGCTATACATCTATGTAAATTTGCTTTCTTGGGAACTCTGTGGGGCGTATGTACAGGGTATTCAGATGCCCGAGTCTGGGCACGTAAGACGAGTGGTATCAGCATCAAGTCCAGGCTGCAGCAGTCCAGCGCTCGCTCTCAGTGCCCTCGAGTACGCGATTGAAGAACGACGCGACGCTACGCTACGCGGCCAAAGTCAGCTAAAAGCGGGAAGAATGAAGTCTTTGGGATTGGGATTGGGAGCGGGAGCTGCCTCTGCATTTGCATTCGGCCTACTTTGCTGTGTTTGGTGGGGCACAGCGCAGGCGCAGGTTGCCTATGTGCGGCATCTGTCAGAGCTGCGGATCAACGAGCTCAATGATCTTGCCACTCGAATTGGGGACTCGATCAACCCGGAGATATACGCCTGCGACAGCTACTTCGACTACGTGTGCAGTCGAAATCGGCCACTTTTCTCGATTATGGGTAGGTACAGTGACAGGGTGGTTCGTATCCCGTATACGAATATGTATATCCGCAGGTCACATGCCACAGACAAGTGAACTCATCCAACTGCTGACCCAGCTGCAGAACGATCCCGAGCAGTTCGAGGCGAAGCAGAAGCTAATGGACTTCTTCATCTCTTGCAACACCCTGCGCTCGGTTGAAGACTGCTATCGCGAGACATTTGAGTTCTTCAAGCCGCTGTTCGGGTTCATAATAACCAAGAATCTGGTGGAGTCCAGCAGCCACGAGCTGCGCGACTTTCTGGAAGTCCTGGACCGCTTCGTCGCCAGGTCGAAGGAGATCTTTCGCTCGGACTCCCATCCCATTCTCAGCAAGCTGGCCACGTACAAGGAGAAGTTCCGCACCCCTGGCATCTACTTCCACTCCGGGGATCTGAACCGGGAGTACAAGGCCCTGCGCATCTACCGCGAGAGCTATGAGCACAACATCCGGAACCTGGAGCAGCACCGCAAGAGGAACTCCACCTACGAGCTGGGCGTGCAGCGCACCATGCTGGACTGGAGCCTGTACCTGTTCCAGAGCAGCAACAAGCCCATGTCCTACTTCTACCCCACGTTCACCGTCCACCTCTACATGACACTCTTCAACAGCACCGAGCGGCAGCGGGACTTCACGCGATTCCGCGAGGAAGTCGAGTGCCTCAAGCTGCCGCAGTTTGTCAATGTGCTGGATGAGGCCCGCATGCTGGCTGTAATCTACCTGAAGAGCTTCCGCTACGCGTGGCACGACTACAGCGACTGGATTATATCCATGACGACGCACCGGGAGATCTACGACCACGAGGACACAATACTCAAGAAGTACCACCTGAACAACAAGCGCATCTTCTTCACCCTCTACGCCCAGAACTTCTGTGAGTTTGGCAAGAATCTCGCTGAATCGCTCTTCTATGTGGGACTCAAGCAGAACGCGGACTTCATCAATAGCTATTCGTGTGGCTATCAGACGGAATCATCCAGCTGCGTCTGAGCTCATTTAATCCTTACTTTTGTCGCGGCCTCTGCCTGTTGAAATATATTTTAGCTCTGTATACTCTGTAAACTTAACTTAAAGCCCTCTCATTAGTAAGTTCCTCTTCCTTCCTTCTTTATCCTTGCACTATTCGCGGAAATCCTTTTTTGCTGCTTGTTCGAGTGGCTGTTCCTTTGCTGCCGCTGCCGCTGCCGCTGCTTCTGCGGTCGCGGCTGCCTTTTCCAGCCTAAACTTTTGCACCTTGTCAAAGTAATCCCGTGCCTCCTGCCGGCGATAAAGTTTCGCCAAGTCGCTGCAGGATTTGCCGACGCCATCCACAGCCGCCAGGTCTGCCCCGCGGGTAACGAGGAGTTTGATGAGCTCCAGGCCCGCGTCCATAACCACTGCAACCGAAAGCCAAGTTAAAGTTCCAATTGATAGAGTCCTACCTCCCTCCCTCCCTAGCCATACCCCCGCGCATAAGCAGAGTCCAGCCACAGGCGTCCCGAGCCTCCAGGTTGGCGCCCGACTCCAGGGCGAACCTCACCATTTCCAACTGATTAGCGTCGACGGCGCAGTGGGCGGGCGTCATGCCGTTGCAGTCCGTCGCCTCCAGCCGCGCCTTCTTGTTCAGCAGGATGCGCGCCGAGGGCAGGTGTCCGTGGAAAAAGGCCAGCTGCAACGAGAGCGGAACAAGGCTGTCACGGGCACTGTCACTGGGCACAGGAGACAGCACTACCAACATGGAGCGGCGTCCGTCCGTTGCTCGGGTTGCCCAGATGCACGCTGCAGCCTGCCGAGAGGAGCACATCGATAATGCACATCTCTGCCTGAATGATGGCGTTGGCCAGCGGAAGACAGCCATTCGGAGCCGGGTATTCTATTAGGCTCGGTCGCCGGCGCAGCATGCGCTTCACCAGGAACTGCTGCTCCTTTCGAATGGCGCGGTTCAAGCAGCTGGTGGAGGGCAGCGCCGCCTCCGTGCAGGCCTATAAATATATGTAAAGAAAGAATAAACTGAGTGGCTGTGACTTTTCGTACTAGTCTGTGTACTCCGGGAAGCAATGAGAAAAATCCAATGAATCTGCAACTGAAGCGCTTCCGCTTGTGCCGATTGTTGCGTTTCCCTCAGCCAAAAACAGAAATATCTCCGCCATGAGCTACTCAATTTCCGTTCCGTTCCGTTTCAGCGAAAAACAAAGTGGGATGGGAGTCCCAGCCTTAGAATATTTACAATCACATCCGGCGAGATGGCTAGAGTCACGTAGCAGCTGCCGTCCTCAGAGAGGTTCAGCGCTTTTATGCGCAGTCGGTGGCCAAAGTTCTCCTCCAGGTTGGCTATCTCTATGGGAGAGCTGCTGCTCCAGTGCACCTGCTGCCAGCCGCGGCGCCTGTGGTACTTCTCGACGCTGTACACCAATGCATTTTGGAGTGGCGCCCACTCCAGGGCCACGCTGTTGATCGTCTGCTGCACAATCCGCGGCTCAAGTCCGGGCCACCGGGGTTCCACACTGGATTCGCATTCACTCGCTGGCCCCAGCTGATTTTCAATACTTGTATCGCTCTCCTTCTGCGACTGTCTATTGTCGGATATGGGTTCGGACATGCTGCAAGCCGTTTATTCATATTTAGCCAATTTGCCAGCCATATTGGCTTTCCCAGCCGCACGCCAGCTAAGCCTCGCCAGTGGCAGAGCCAACGGCAAACAGCCAAATGCCATGGCAACGGCAATGGTTACGAAAACTCCTCGGGCGGTGGTGGGAAGGGGAGGGGAGTAGATTTGGGATTTTTGTTAAATCAATAAATGGGTGCAATGTCGCTGGTGATGGGGTCCGGGTCAGGAGGGGCGGAGGGGCTGTTGATTGCTGATTGCCTGATCCGGGCCCGTTCACTCGTTCACCCGCTCACCCGTTCGCCTGTCCCTGGCAGACGACTCTTTGTGTTTGCGGCGTCCGATGTGCTGATATTGCCACTGTGGATGAAGTGGTTCTGCTGGTGCGGTGGGGTGGTGGGTGGATGGATCAATGCATGGGTGGGTTCGGTTCGGTTCGGTTCTCTTGGTTACATAGTTTCTGATGTGCTGAAACTGAAACTTTTGTGTCCCTGGGTGTGTGTGTGGTGTGTGTGGGTGGCAGCTTACTTACTTAACGAGCCTTTGACATACTCCGTGCGGTGATGACTCCGGAAATTTCGGTTGGAGACTCGGGCTTGGTGTTTATCTGCCCGGCGCAATGTGCCAACTCACCGACCGACACAGAGATACGAGTATCTCACTCGCAGCCGAGCTGGAGGCGGGGACTGCTCGACATGTCAGGCACAAAGGCTGCCACATACACATACACAGGCACATGCACATGCAAAAAATTATCATTTGTCAAAATCACAACATGAAACCGTTTTAAATTAAGCCACTCTGCCAGTCATACCCTCACGCCCCCATGCCGCCATGCCACCATGCCGCCACTTCGTCTCAACTTACTCGCAGAAGCCTCATCCCGCCGGGCTTGGGCTTGTGCTTTTGCCGGGCCGGGCCGGGCCTTCGAGCTGGCATTGTCTGTGGATGAAGTGAAGTTCAGTTGTCATCTTCGCGGCGGCTGCTGTTGAATCCTCATTGATTGAAAACGACCGCAAGAGCCTTCCAAATGGGTGGTGGGGAGGTGGGTGGATGGAGGGTGGAGGGGAGCGGGCAGAGCACTCTCTGTATTAGACGGGGGGTATTCAATATCATTATTTCGTGAAAGGGGATCAGGGGAAATACAATGTAAGCATCGTTCCGCGGCTGGCAATTCAAAATAAGGAGAAAGATTCATAGTACGCTGGAAATAAACCTATTGATGAAACCCCAAGGAATCCATTCCTACTGAGATAAAACATCCCACATCCCAGGGAATACATGGATCAATGGACCAATGCTCTATCCATCTATGACCAGCACGATGAAAATGTTTCGCAGTGCATCAGGCATCAGGTACTGATATATGTATGTATGTACATATCCATACCATACCCAAGCCATATGTACATACATCATCGTACATTTATGTGGACCACAGTACACGCTGGTGACGAACCCATTACGTTTGCTGCTAAGTCTCTAGTTAGAGGCAAAGGTGCAACCTTTTACATAAATTCAACGCAATGATCTGTGACAAACTTTTTACTTTTATGCTTATTTATATGGACTCATTGTGGACGTAAAACCTAGCCGAAAAACAATAAAGCAGCTAAAAAGGACACCCCACAGCGTCGGAGCCAATATAAAGAATATATATTTTCTGTACATACAGGCAGAGGTAATTTTATAAGGCTGTAACGTAACGTTTTACGATTATTCGGAATATTTTGCACGTCGAGTGGCATGGCAATAATTTGATATGACTTGTTCCAACAGTTCGTGGAGGTTTTTTGTGTTCATCTCGGCCGAGCTATTGAACTAATGATGTGTAATATTCCAGGAGAATATTCCAGAGTGCATACTCGTACAGTTTTTATATTTGTATTGAGATAGTTGTTCCCCGGAACACCGGATGATAGCGTGGGACAAATGCTTTGCAATTGTTCCCCAAGGGCATCTCCGTTTCGGTGCTTGTCTCACACAATGACTGCGTTGTCTTGCTGTCTACGCTGCGGAAATCTCCAGGCGAATGGGTCTCCCGGCAGTCATTAGGGTCCAAATAAGCTGGAAACGGCTGCCATGCGCCAAATGCGCCCAATTTGCCTGCCGCCCGCTGAACCAGGGAAGGAAGAGCAGGCGAAAGGCGGAAGGCAGTGCCAAAAATAATCATAACCAAACCAATAGACGATGCGGAGCGCCTCAGCAAGTTCTCCTGAACCGAGGCAGGCAGGAGGAGGGGCGCCGGAGCTGCCAAACAGGTGGCATAAAGCGAAATGGGTTTGATTTTAATCAAAATAATGGGCTCCGGCACCGCATGATGACGTGTATGGCTTAATTAAATAATTTATATATGTACATACATATATTACGCATACGCCCTGTGTACGCACACACCCACAGGAAGCGCGTATGGAGGTTCATGTGCAGCAGTGGCCCTACGAGCAGGCTCGAGTGGCAGCAGGGCAGCAGGGCAGCAACAGGGCCTAGTCCTAGGCGCCTGCCTTATCAGCGCCCCGCTTACACTCGATATCTTCCGGCTGGTGCGTGAGGTTTACAAGCGGAACAGGCCCATAAAAGGCAGCGCACATGGAGCCAGAAATTAGCGAAGCCAACGCCTGTCGCCGGTTCCTGTATATCCGGCACATCCGTGCGAGCATCCACCCGTACTCGGCGAATGAAGCTATTTGCTTATCGGACCAAACCCCGAGAGCCCCGCGAGCCCCGCGAGCCCCGCGACTTATGAAATCATACGAGTACAATGTTGGTGGGGGTGGGGCAGGCACAGGGAAAGGCACAGTCACTGGCCCGCATCGAGCAGATATACTTGCAGCTACATTTACATACGTCCACACTTGCAGCTACATGAGGGAAAAGTTTGTTATTAGCTGGCTGGCTATTTGGCTGCAAGCTTTTGGCCAGCAAGCTTTCCTTTTGGGGGTCTGGGGGGAGGGAGTCGGCTGTCAAAACTGACAGAAGTGGGCCCAAATCTTGCTCTCCTCTCTCTCTCTATTTCTGCCTCTCTGGTCTCGTGCTACTTGGCCTGCTCGCTCTCTCTCTCTTTCGCCGTCTCTCGCTTTGAATGTTATTGCCACAAAATTTACACTGGCTAACAGTTTGGCATTTCGCTGTACGTTTTCGGCAGTTTCGTGTAGTTTTTCACCAGGAACAGCGCCAGAGCCGAGGCAGAGGCACAGGCAGCACCAGCAGCAGCAGCAGCACAGTAAACATTTTTCGGTATGTATGCCTCGTGGCCGAACCCTCCTTCAGTGTGACGTTGCTGTAGTTCCGCGCGCCTAGTGCCTGGTGGGGAATTGTACGAAATATTTGTAGTTTTACGGTGCCTTCGACGGTTGTAGGTAAGCCCACTGACGCGTCGTCCCGCCAGCAGTTGGAGGGGAAAATTTCTAATCACATTTCCCTGGTGCTATCAGAGAAAAAAGGTAAAATATTACTCCGAGTGCGGTTTCGCGTTCCATCGCTTTTCTTTAGCGATACCCATACCCTTACCCTTACCCTTACTTATACCCGTACCCCCCTCCCACGCGTACCCGCTTCCGATTCCACTCCCGTACTGCCGCACTCCGTGTATTACCCCAGAGACAGCAATGCCGTGGTGGCCAGGACGTGACGTTCATCTTAAGCAGGGAGCGTCCGTCGCTCCGTGGGAGCGGGAGTAATAAGCAATTTGTGGAGGAAAAGTTAAATCGCGCAGCGCAGCGAGCACTGGCGAGAAATATAATTGATTGGTATATAAAAAGCGGAGCAAATCCAGTTCCAGTTCCAGCTCCAGCTCCAAAGCAGACAGCAGAAAGCAACAAAGCCAGACTTATCCACATAAATATATACTCATACATATGTACACACTATATATACCTACTAGAAGGAAGTCCTGCGAATTGGTGGGAAACTATAATTGATTGAGTGGAAAACAATGGAGTCCCAGCCATTGCGGATGGCACGGGGACGGCTGGATTTGTATCAAACTAATTGGAAATCTACGAGGCTGCTTTTCGAGATCGCTTCAAGGCAATTGATGCACTTGTCACGGCTAAATGCCGACCACAGACCACCGGACGGGCGGACGGGTGGACGGGTGGACGGTCGGACGTGGCCAGAACTTTGCAATTTCCGTCTTTCAAGCTGTGCGCTTCCGACGCTCCGCAAAAGTTGTGGATGGATGTCTGCCCAGAGTCGGAGCTCCATATGCAAACAAACTATAAAGGCCGCTGACAAACGAACAAAGCCAAAGACGATGTCGGTGGATGTGGATGTGTGTATGTGGGATGTGGGATGTAGGATATGGAGTGAGACTGGGGTGGCAATGATGATGATGATAATGATGATGATGAGATGGTTTTCCACAACTCGTTAGCATATGCCCCATACGGGAAAACAGCAGGGAAAACAAAGCGATAACAGGGACAGGCAGCATATTATCAGAGTGTTTTGGCCTTTTGGCCAAACCACGAACACACACGGCCCGACCGACAGCGAGAGCCCAAAACACGAAACGAAACGAATCAATATCGTATCTCCTGCGGCTCCGGGCGCAGGCGCCAGCGCACAGATGTGGGCAACGCTGTATTTCAATGTCAAAAAGTCAAGAGAGTGGGAGAGCCAGAGAGAGATTGGACTGGGGACAGGGGACTGGGGACGGGGAGCGGATGACAAAATTATGTAATAGACAAAAAGTAGATGCAGATAAATATATTATTAGTCGAAGAGAAAGGCAAGAAGCCAGCGCCAGCGGCCATTACATAAAGGCGGGCATCGAGAACAGCAACAAAAGCACAGAGGAGCAGACGAGCAGACGAGCAGATGTGCGAGGCTCTGAGCGCTCTACCTTTACGAGTACGAGTATATGAGCGCAATTCGCGCACCGTACCGTACCGTACCGTACCTACTTTCCGTGCGTTAGAGCAGGGCGGCGAATGCCTCTCTCGCCCACTCAACAAGAGGAACCCCACAGACACGACGCGATACGAGAAACACTCAGGCCAGGCCATGCCAGCTCAAAAGCTTCGCTCTTGCGTTGAGTGGTTTCGGCTCGATTATTGGATTCTAGGGAGGCAGAGGGGAACGGCAATGGCGCTGGCGCCGACTTCGCTGCCTGCGCCGCAGCAGCCTACAGCTGGTCGCCGCTCTGGCTCTGGCGTTCTGGCGTCGCACGAGCCGAGTTTTCCATGTAGGGAACACGGCAGTGTGCTGCAGAAGAGTGCGAACATAGCATGAAGTAAGAAGCGCCGAATAAAACATAGCCACGGCCTGGGCGCAAAGTGGAAAACCAAAAGTATTAAAAAGCCCACACTGACACTCACACAAACACAAACAAACACACACTGCCACACACACATGTGCGTTTGTTGGTGGCTGTGTGAGTGAGTGTATGCACAAGTGCACTACATACTGGCATACTGGCACATAATGTACGAGTATGTGTGCGCATTGTATGCACACATGTACATAACGTAGTATAGGCCCAGGCTTAACAATCAAATAAATCGCAAATCGGGAGACAATCGCGAGCCCCCTACGCACACCAACTGTGATCACAGTGGCCCACCCACCCCCCACCCATCGCCAACACTGTTAAACCATCAAAATGGTCCACCGTTCCGCCGACAGTCGAAATGGAAAACTAATTCAATTATAAGCAATAAATTCTTTCGAGCTAATTCAATTACGCTAAAAGCTGGCTGTGGGAACAGCTTTATGTAATAATCAGTGGGCAAAAGGCTGCGCGAGCGAGCGAAAAAAAATGTTTCGGGCCTCTGGCACACACTCCAGTCCGTTGTCGAAAAACGTATTGGATCGAATTTGTTGCTGTGCCTGTGCCTGTGCGTGTTACGTAAAAATGTTGTTTTCCTGCGGCACCAGGAAAACCCCCCCACAGCACACCCCACCCCACCCCCCTAATGGGCACTTACGTGCACGCTCACACAAAAGAAACCCTAATAAAGAAATATCGATAGAGGCAACAAAGCCAGCGACAACGACACTGCGCCTCGGGGTCCCCCTATTCAAGACTGTGCGAGTGTGGTGTCCACTATTTTCCAATTAGATGACATGCCAATAGACCGAGTGAATCGAGATCATACGCGACTGAATATAGTATGTCCTCTGATGGCCACTTTTGCTTCTCTTTGCCTTGCAGAAACCCTGTCTGTCTAGTGCTCGCTCTTCTCTGCGGACTTCTTTGAAACAAACACACTTCAGCGCCAACGATTTCCAATCTCTGCTCCTCCTGCCACCACCAACAGCAGCATCCACGGTAACGCGCGCACACACAGGAATCTCCGGCGGCAATCTCAAAGGAATACTTTCCCAACTAAAGTCAGGTAAGTGACTGAGTGAGTGAGTGAGTGGGTGGGTGGCAAACCTTTCGCAACTTCCCAAAAGTGTCCAAAGTATGCGCAAAGTATGCTCCAAACTTATACGCGCTTTACGTCAAATGTTTGCGCAAACTTTTCCACATTTTCACGCGTGAAGTGCCCGACGCGCGCCTAATGCTGGAAAAGTGGTGCAACCTCATTATACAATCTGCTGAGTTCCCAAGGAGATCTGCGATTTCGCTTGGACTCGATTCCGTTTGCCCCCAGCTGGCCCTGTTCCCAGCCGACAAAGCCAAAGCAAATAGGTTAATGCCAACTCTGCGCATACTTGATATTCTGCTGAACCAGCTAGGCAAAGGCAAAGGGTAGCGCGGCGTATACTTGATATTTGCTGACCCTTCCCCGAGCGGTGAAATACTCGTAGCACACAGTCGAACCCAGCTTATTTGCGTGTTTATTGGCCTTGACTGTGGCTCCGGCTCCGGCTACGGCTCCGACTCTCGCAGTCGTATCAAAAGAACTTCAAACGTAATTGGATAGCCATCCGGTCGGGGCTGTTTATTTGCTGAGGGAGAAGGAAACGGGCTATGTTTCTGCTGGGGCCACACCTTGAGCCACCTGCCCATAAAATTCTAAGCACGAATGCCATAAATTTTCGCTTTTATTTACATATATTAAGTCGGGCATGCTCGTCCTTGGTGGAACACGCTGTCCACACTGTCCACACTAGCCACCGACGGTCTGTCCACCCGTCAACCCCTTTCCATTACCCATTTTCAGTTTCTGGGAAGCTGGAGATTAAAGTGAATTTTCCAAACTGCAAATGCTCTGGCCAATAAACAATTCCGACGTTTGCTGACTGACTGCTGGCCACAGGGCCCCGAGCCGGAGCCGGAGCCGAGCTGGAAATTCCTTGCAGCGCCAGCTTAATTCATTAGCTCGAACAGGAAGTGGAGGCAGCGCCAGCCCAGGAGCAGATACTGCCTGGCACCGGGACCTGGGCCCTGGCAGGGCCTTCCCGCTGCCAGTCGTCCGACGTCCGCCCGCTGGCGAATGCTTTTTATGTCAAACTAATTTCGTTGCTCGTTTGCTGGTGTTGTTTTAATTTGCGCAGCTAGCCAAGCCAGAAAGCAGGCTGCCTGCCGCCCTCGGCTTAAGTTCGTTAGCCCAATTTGCGCAAATATTAATACATGGCTACAAAGACAGAGACACAGACACAGCACCAGCATCAGCAGCAGGATGCTTTGCTGAAAATGAAGCTGGAGCCGAGGCCAAAGCTGATGCTTCCCCGCCAGCGGCGTTAATAAAATTGAAAATTTTTGGCTGGGAGGCACTGAGCCCACATTCATTACGGCATTATTGTGCTAGAGCACCCGGACCAAGGCTGGGATATTAGATTTCCCCGAATTAAGTACAGCATCAGGGGCGACAGCGACAGGGCCGACAGCTGCAATTGATGGAGATGTGGCAGCAACTGAGTCCCCAACAGAAACAGACACAGAATTGAAATGGGAAAAGAAGGCGTTAGGGAAGGGAGGGAGGAAAGGGAGTTCTTTCCTCATCTCGAAAGCGGTTCCAAAGGAAACGTCAACGACGGGGCCGCAAAGGCATCCTACCAACGGCATTTAAGCTAAGCGGCTTAAAGTATCAGGCCCGGCCAGGTGACAGGCCAGCTCGGCGGTTCGTCGGCGGTGGCCCCTGGCCCTGGCCCTGCTCTTGCCCGTCCTGTCGCATCTCAATTTAATTTGCTCTTTTCTCTTTGCTGTCTTACAGACAGAGGCAGAGGCCAGCGCGGACCGCGAGTGCACTCACCAGCGACCGGAACTCTCCGGCAGGAACGGAACAGGACAGGACAGAACCTTATCGAGCCACGCCTATAAAGCTACAGCCCCAAGATGGCGGCCTTCATAGCCAAGCAAATGGTTGGAAACCAATTAAGTGCCGTTAAAGGTAAGTCAGGCGAAAACGCGCGCACAGATACCATACTCGCCCGCACACTAGAGTCCCCCCGCCGCGGCGGTGGTTGGTTTTATTTTTGGCACCCGATCAATATAGGCGTACCCTTCCCCATGGGATATCCGGGAATGTATACATAATTCATTTTCAAGCTGCTGCGCAGCAACAAAAAATAACCACACATGAGCGGGAAAGTGGCCAACGCTTTTAGGCACACACCCTTCTCCCCTCCACTCCACTCTCCGGTGGGGCATTAGGTAATGTCATTCGGTCCCATTGTTGTTGCTGCGACTGCGGCTGCTGCTGCTGCTGCTGCTGTTTAATCAGCGTCTGTGCAATCGCTCGGAAAATCATTGAATGCTTTCAGAAAGGAGCTAGAAGCAGGACGACGATGACGATGACGATGAGGATGAGGCAAGGATATTCAAGCTAAAATGCTTATCAACCAGCCACACGCGAGCACAGCCGGAGCCCCAACGGAGCATTTACATAGAGCCGCCTTCTGTCCCAGGCCACAATGCCCCTCCACCCGTCCCGCTATCCGTATTCGATTCGATTCTATAAGAAGACCCGTTCAATTTGCAAGCGCCGACGCGATGCTGCTCCTGCGCCAAGGCATCGCCATTACGCGCCTGGGGCTGCAGCCGGAGTGGACCGGGTGCACATTACCGGCTCCCTTATCGAGCGCAGAGATTCTGCACGAATGCGCCGGCAAGTGGTTTCAGCAAATTGATACACTTAATTGTATAGATTGATGTTGAATTTGCTGCACTCCTTTTCTTTCTCTTTCTCTTTCCCTTTCCCTTTTCCCTTGCTGGGGTGGGCTCAATCATTTGCCCCCGCCACAGTGCGCGTCCCCGACGGAGCTTCCTTTGTCGAGCTGTCAGCTGCGACTCAGGTCGAGATTGCGGCTAATGCGCCCCGACCAAGCCCGTCCGTTGGGCCGTCTGTCAGACCTGGCAGTGACGTGGACTTACCAAGTTCGAGGAACACGGAAACGCTATTAGCATGGGCGTAAAGTGCGAAAACCCGAATCAATTCGTACGTACGTACGTATGTATGAATGTATGTATGAATGTATGCATGTGTAGGGTTACGTTTGTGTGGGATATTCAGAAGTACGCACACTCGTACGTGTGCCAATTACCGAGATACTCTTACTAAGTTGCAGATATCCGCATCCGTGGCGGCTACTTTCGGCGCTCAATGGTGCAGCAAGCAGCCACTTAAAGTTCTCCATAAAACTGCGGATGAGTGATGAAAACGAAATAAAATATCCCCATAAAAGCCATATTCAGGGAAGCCTCTCGTTCCCCTTGATTCCTTCGCCCTCGTACTGGAGACCAAACGGAGTCCAGCCCCCTTCTCTTCGCTCACATGAAGAAACATCTTTTCTGGCTTCGAATTCGATGGAGCGAGTGGGGGGTGGAGGTAGGAGTGGTAGGAGTATTAGGAGACGGAACGGTCCCGGCTAATGCGTTTCCATTGTCAACGACTGCTCCCGCAATCAGACAATTTATTGGAGCTCGCCCCGAGTTGGCCTTTATTACTATTGCCTGTCTTACATAAGGATAAGTTATGGATTTGTTGTATCCGCTCGCAGATTTGTTGGACTTCGCGCCTGGCGATAGTAAAAATGTTCGGGCCTACTGTGATCCAACATCAAAGGGCTTTCCGATAAAGTATTGCTTAAGCGACACAAGTTTTCCCCATTCATACCCCCGTACATTGTACACACATGCATACATATGTATGTCTCAAAATAATAAGCTCCCGGCTGAAGGAAGTTCAGCCAAGAGAAAATATCCAGAGGGATAAATTATACAAATTCTGACTGCGACTGCTACACTCCATCCAAATCAATACTTTCCATAGCATTATTTTTTTTTCTCTTACGGTTTTTTAACAACTGAATTTTCTTTAATTTTCAGGTAAGCGTTCGCCAGAGAAACTCCCATAAGAGCATCCCATAAAGTTGCGTAAGTTGCGCTATCGCTCCAAAGCCCCGCTCCCACCCCCTAACATAACGATCCAACAGATTTGAAAAGTTTCGGTAGCATACATTAACAATATAATCGAATAATATTAATAGTCTGAATCATTGTTTTGAATGGCACAACCCGTTTAGTTTACAGTTTACAATTTACAGTTTACAATTTACAATTTACAGTTTACAATTTACAGTTTACAGTTCACGCTTCTGTTTCAGTTTTGAATGGACGCACGGTTTTGGTTTCGGTTGATTGGCAGTGGCATGAATACATGATTGAAATTTACGAATACTCGTAGTACCCATAGAGCCGTTCAAGATTGAAACTCCGAGCAAGGTTTTCAATACGAATCGAATCTCAATATATTTTTGACCTAAGCTTAGCATTGCACAACACAAATAGCCACGTATGTTTCGAATAATCAGCGCATATACCGAGTATATACCCATTTGCATATGCACTCCCTGTACATACCCCACGCCATCGACATCCCCTCCCTGCATAACCCACGAAGCTCAAGGCTCAAAGCATCAGTGTCCTACCAAGATCATCGAAGTAACCCTTGGTACTCCAAGGGTTCCTCCCGTCCATTCCACCCCCAAGTACCTCTGAAAACTCCCAAAAACTACGTATTTTTATGCAGTTATCGTAATTTATGTAAGCTAAGTACACTCACAGATCATATAACGTTAATCCCAACCAGCATAAGAACCTCCTCTTCGAGACACCAACGGAAAAGAAAAGAAAAGAAAATCAAAGAAAAGAAAAGAAAAAGAATGAAATTTATTTGTACGCTCCTCCAATGCCTTCACAGCCGAACTTTACCTCATTGTAAAACACACAAACACGAGAGCTTGACAAACACACCCCACCCAACCCAACTCCACCCCACCCAGTCCAAGCACCTAGGACGACTCCCAAGTGCACAGCAATTCTACCCCAGGACAACCCCAAGCCACTCCACTCCACTCCACTCCACTCCACTCCTCTCCTTCATGCAACAACAGCAACAAATACAGCAACAATGCGAACACCATGAACAACAAAAGCCAGCAATGAGCCCAGCCCAGCTGCCATCGCCCCGATAGCAACAAAAAAAAAACCAAACAGAAAACACAATTCAATTTCTTCTATTACACTTTCTTCCTGCCTACCAGAGCTCGTCTCTCTTTACGCTCTTTATTTCGTACTCGAACATTACAATGACTGCCACGCCCATATCCTTATACACCCAAACACCCATGCACCCACCCATACCTCCATCCCATCTGAAATATAAAGCGGAAATTTAAACCAAAGAAGAAGAAAGACTGACTGGGTGCTTGGCCATCCAGGATCTATCCAACAATTCCATATTGGCAACCTCCTCCACGAGTCGCACACACAGTCACAGTCACAGTCACAGTCTCTGACAGTGACAGTGACAGTCACACAATCACACAACACTCCTTCCTATTAAGCAGCTCCTCGAGAACGTTTTTCTACTTATTCAGCTTCTCCTATGATTATGATATATTCGTACCATTACCCACATTTAACTTAATACTCCACTGTATTCTCCTATATACATATACTCTTACTCGTAATCACACAAATGTCGCAACTTGCAACTCGCAGTCCATAAGCCTAGCAACTAATCCCAACAGAGAGCGGAATATTAATGGAACTTTACCTTTACTTTCCCGACCACACGCTACACAGATGCTGCAGGCGGCGGTAATTTCTCAACCTTTCGTATTTTTGCATCTTACTCGTACTCGTACTCGTACTTGGAAACTCGTACTGTATATTGCATACTACTCGTACTTATACTCGTGCTTGCATATCTTGTATGACTTGATGGCGGTGCTGGAGCTGGTGCTGATGCCATCGCACCTTTCAGCATCCAGCGTCCAGCACTCAACATAATAAATCCATACCCACAAAATACTCGAACCAATAATACATATTAGTAGAATCTCTGATTCGATCGATATCAATCGCTGAAATTCCAAATTAGAATCCGCTTCCACTTCAGTCTCATGATCAGCATCCGGTTATGGGGACGTTGCCCTCAACTCACGTCCCAAAAATCCGCAAGCTTTTAAGTTTTACTCGTTTTGCCATGCTGCCCCGCTAAATATTGGATTTGTAGTGCTCCGATCGATACCTGCCCGACGCACTCCACAGAAAGATATCCAAACTGGGAGTTCCATCCCAGTTTTCATCCCAGCTTTCAGTTTGGTTAATTAGACTAGAAAACTTGAAGCAGCGTGCGGGAAACTTTGCACCGATCGAACTCCATTTAAATATGCATAAAAGCAAGACGCAAATGCAAAATGGAAAAGTTTCCAACTGAATTAGCGGCAGAAGGGGGAAACCACTTATAATTTGAATCCGGAGCAAATTGCGCTGCCACTTTCGATTCGGTTAGACACATGCAGCTGGCAAAAGTTCATGGGACAATTATGTTATGCACATCTTGAGTTTGTTTCTGATTAAAACACTCCATTGCCATTGCACACATATACACATACACATACACATACTCGTACATATATACATACTTCACGAAAAACCACGATTTCCGTTCGATAACTCTGGATCGAACTGCGCCTTTTGTTTCGTTTCCCATTTCGCTAGAGTTTCTGTATTTCATCTGTTTCATCTGTATACGCCAACAATCAAGACAAAATATAGTTTGATTTTATACAAAAATACGTTACCTTTGAAGCGTTACATTCGAACTCTTTCTTTCTGCGAAAATTGTTTTGTTAAAGTGCTTCTTTATCTACTTCTGCTCCTTCTACTCTACTATCGAACTTCTTTCGTACTACTTTGGTACTACTTCTACTTCTACTTCTACTTCTACTACTACTTCTACTACTGCTATGTACTACCCAAACAAATATGGAACCATACTAACTACAAACCTACTTACATCTTCTACAATTCTACTATAACTACTCTAACAACTACAACTCAACTACCACCTATATACTACGAATTTACAATGAGGTAAAGTATAAGTATAAAGTATTAAGTATCTCATAAAAGTATCTCAATAAAACACAATCCCATCGATACTAAGCAAAGTCTGTAAGCGACACACACATGTGTACCTAAGAGTGTGGGGAAGGAACGTGAACAGCCCACACCCCACAGCCCACAGCCCACACCCCTTAGCCCTGAATGAATGCGCTTTGATGAGCAAACATTTTGACACATGCGGGGACTGCCACACTCCCCATTCTCTTCAAAGGGAAGACAGGCACGGCACAGTACAGTACTCGAACAATACTGGCTACGTCGCTCTCGGTGTCCTCGTCCGAGTCCTTTAAACCGGGCAAATATTGCTGATATCTGCAGGTTTTCAAATTGTCTTGGCACGTGCGTCACGGCATATGCTTACCGCAAGTGGAAAGCCCGTAGGTATGCAACACTTTGACACAGAGACACAAGACGGACACAACTCAAAGAAAACTATACATACATATGTGTACATACATATGTACATGGCATAACGATATCGATCCCTAATCTTGCAGATATTGTAACTTTCACCTTGCTGTGCGAAAGGGTTACCCAGTGTTACCCAGTGTCCCCCAGCGGTGCTACCCCAGATAGAAATCCACACACTGCAGTCGTTCCACTCTCGTAACGTTCCCAGTACCAATACCAGTTCCAGGATACCAGGACCATAACTAGGACGGGGTGGTCTGAGGGGTGGGGGGCTTCAGCTGTTAAGGGCTCGGCATAAATTATGTATATTAAAAATTCCTCAAATATCCAAGAAAAGAACACCGACCGAAATATTTGCATGCAGCTTGCGAGTGGGCTCTCAGCCTTGCAGCATTTTTGACAAATTTCCCCGTTTGCCGGAGTCGGGCACGGAGTCGCATTCCAAGCGTGCCTGGCACAGGGTCGCCGGGGGAAATGGTGGGGGTCCGCTGCCAGATGAGGCATGCAACTAATTGCTGGCGCTACGAGAACGAGCCGTGTGCAACTAGCGTGCTGTCAATGAGATTTTCTGCTTGTCCGCAGAGGCAGTGCCAGATGCAGTGCCAGATGCAGAAGCAGCACAGAGGACAGTCTCTGCATAATTTCAGTACTTGCACACGCCCACTTCCTCTTACTTATGCGCCCTCACAGACACACACACACACACTCTCCACTCTCCATCGCCAGGGGAAGTGGCGGGGGTGGCACTCGTGCGGGGCGAGTGTGGCCATAAGTAAATATCGGGCTCCTTGAGGCTGTTAAAATGTAATTACAGAGGGGACAAGGGCAGTTGCTAATAGCGACTATGACAATGAAAATATTAGCGCGGGGCATGGGCATGGGCATGGGCATGGGGCATGGGCTTGGGGCATGTGAGAGGACTAGGCGTATTAAGTCAACCTCTTTGTGGAAGTCGCCCTGCTCCTCTAAGGCCTTCCCTTCCGCCAGCTTCCTGTCATTTGTGCTGTGCGTTGCCGTCCCTTTGACCCAGATGTGTGCAAGATGGTGGCGGTTTCGCAGAATCCTACAATACAAAGCTGAGCGGGCTTGAACCGGATTAAGCAAGAAAGTAATTTGCCGTTCGTGCCTTTTCACCAGCTCCTTACAATGCCAGGAGTGAAAAAATGACGGCGGCAGAGTGGGGCGTGGAGCACTTCGCACAAATGAGTGAAGCTTCTCTACTCTGCGCTTCTACGCCTCTACACCTCCCCTTCCCATGTACATTTCCATTTGCTACGAGTATGTATGTATGTACATGGGAGAGAGCGTGAGGGCAGGGTGTGGGGAGGCCTCAGCCGCAATAAAAATGGAAATGGAACTCTAATGTAGTATTCCTTAGTGTGCGCGTATTAAGTCGAATAAGTGTCACCAGGCGAGCATCCGCTCCACTTCCACTTCCACTTGTACAGCCCTAGACCCCATACAGCATCCTCCATCCTCCAGCTACATATGCCATATGCGGATAGGACAATTACGGCGGCTCCGCTCCCAGTTCGGGTTCGGCCACGTTCCATTCTCATCATCGGGTTCCGCTGACGTGTTGGTATTCAAAATAGCAGGCCAAGCAATAAAACGCACTCTTAGACTTATCCGAGCCACGGCTCGTATATCAGACTTATGACTTCGGCCAAATACTGGCTGATATATTTATGTATGACTGTATGTGTGTATGGCTATATGGAATGGGGCCCGTAGTCGCTTTCCCCAGTCCCAGCTCCACATGCCAGATAGGTATTAAGTACCCTCATTTCACCCATGACACGCAGCGAGGAGTAAAGCTTTTAACGGCAAAGAAAAAAGTGAAATGGACGATGGAAAGAAACGCCAACAGCCAAGAACCAACAACCATCAACCAACAAACCAATTTGTAAAGACGGACCGATTTTTCGAGCTGTCAGGAGCATTCCTGATGCAAATTGAAGGCTTCCGCAGGTCTTAAAGGGCCATCATTGGCGTCCCACCAACGGGTTGTCCGCTTCCATTAGAAGCCGGAAAAAAAAGAATGCGAAGAAAAATGAGGAATGAAAAATGCCGAACAAAAGGGCAGATGGAAAGGGAGATAGACACTCGTAGAGATGGCATGTGGGTAGGGGGAGGGTGTGGGGGGGTTGAACATCTTGCTCAAGCGGTGTTAATTATGTTGGCATGATAATTATATTACAATAGGCTTGATTAGTTTTTAATTGAATTGTGCACTCCATTCGGGGCATCTCTCGGATCTGCAACTGGAACCGAGTTTTAAAGAGTTTCCCCATAAACTCTGCGCTTTATGTATACACTGTATGTACTACACGTACATACACACACACACACATACATGCTTGTACTCGTACTTGTAGATACGCACGTACCGAACAGACCTTTGTTGCAGCCACAAAAAGGACAGGACAGGCCTGGGAGTGGGCACGAGTGGGCAGGACAGAGTTCGTAAAGTTCATAAAGCAAATTACGAAAGTCCCATAAAAGCGCAACATTTCCAGAGAAAGACTTGGAGCTGGATGGGGGGAGGGGAGTGTAGGTGTGGGGGTCCGGATATGGTACTGAACCTAGTCCTAGGCATGGACATGGACTTGGACGGGGGGGCCCGTCAGCCATTTGACACCATTTCGGGAAATCAATTTTTATTATAAAATACTTTGACTAATTTATGAAAACAATAAATGCGTCTGCAAATCAAGTCACAGTCACCCCCAAAAGTTCATTCACAAAGCTATTCAGCAAATTGATGACTATAAATTCAATTTAATGTGCGTTGCCTTTTGCACATAAGTGACGAAGGGAAGAGAAGGGATGAGCGAGAGGGAGAGCAAGAGCGAGAGAGCAGAGCACAGCAGAGAGCAGTGAGCAGTGAGCAGTGAGCAGAGACACCCGACAGAATGTGTGCGGTCATCCATCCCAGCCCTCCCCTTTGCTTTCGTCTGGAGAAGCACTCACTCAAGAGAACCGCGCGTAGAATTTTTGCGTTTGCGCCGGAGTAGACAGAGGAACAACATGGAAGAACAGCGAAGCTGACGCAGTCGGTGGCGCTGCCCGCGTCGTCAAGTGGGACAACAGCAATTAGAGCGAGCGAAAAAGCTGTCTAGCTGCTCTCATCGGAATTCCGACTCAAGGCCCGCAATCGACGGGGATCTGCGCCGGCGCTTCGCCACGACCAGACCAGAGTCACCCCCTGTGCTTAGGTCATCATGTGGGATGCTCAAATCACGACGTGGTCCAGCGCCAGCGACGCCAACCTCGACTGCGGCAGCGACTGCGGCTGCGGCTGCGACTGCTGTAACTGGCACGGCGGCAGGACATAAAAAGCCAAGCGAGTGCTGCCAGTACTCCTACTCCAAGTTTGAGCTCCTGCGGCTGAAGTTCAATCACTCTGACTCTGACTCGGACTCGGACTCAGACTCTGATTTGACATAAGCGACTCTGCCCAGCATCCATCCTCGAGCAACGCTCCGCGCGCCTCAGCGCCCAAAAGTCGGCAGCAGTCAAGTTTCAGTCAGTTGCTGCCATCAGTATCAGTTCGTGTGCGCTCGTGACCGCGTTCGCACTTGCACCTCGTGGTGGCCGCCACAATCGATTGGAATAGCCATGGCAACCGTGGGGCCGCGACCACGACCACGACGGAGCAGCCGACGACGAGAGCGCCGAAAACGACAAAGACGACGACCACGACGACGGCAGCGTGAGTGTGCCAGAACTGCAGCTCCTGACTGAGAGTGTGTGAGGCGGCAGCGTCGCAGCGTGGACAGTAGTGGCAGCATCGGCCAAGGCAGCGGTTGCACTTGCACTGATTCGTTCGGGCCCCGAAATACCAGAAGGCACAACTACGGAGAGGTAGCAGTGGTTGAAGGCGCCTAGAAATCATGAATTTCATTGGTATGAAGCGATTAAACCTGAGATTAAATGAATCTGCAGCCCCTGCGGATCCATGGTCTTTGTGCATCTTGATTTCCTCTGTTTATCCGTTTATGAACAACACTGATTCGTCTCCTCTCTGAACTGCTACACTGCTACTCACTGCTACTACATATGTACTATGTACTATGTACTCAACCTCAATCTCAATCTCAACCAACACACACCACGCTCTACTCTTACCGAATCTCTCTCCAACGTAAGTCTTTGCCACAACATTCGTTTATTTTTCCGTTTCCGTTTCCCTTTTTCGCCTTTACGCCTTTATTCCTTTATGCCTCGCGCTAAGCCTTAAGCTCATACGTAACCTAACCTAACCTAAGTGTAAACATATGCTGCCTCTGCCGAGGGAGAGAGGGAAGGAGGAACCAGCACCAGAGCAGATGGAAAGCAGCTCGGAAAATCAATCGATTGAAAGGGGTCGCCACGCGCGGGAGCGTCCGACCATGTGACTGTGACGTCGCTGTGGCTGTGACTGCATAGCATAGTTGCGTGGAGTGTGCCACACTCCTATCGATTTTATTCCGCGAGCCAGAGACCAGCCAGAAAAGTTCAAGGTCTGACCTGAGCGAAATCTGGCCGGGCTCGCCATCCGCACTCGCAGTGCAGGCCCGGAGTCCTTCCTGATTCCTGAGCCTAGAGAAGACTGCAGCGCTGGTACTGCCCGGCGAAGGCATCGCCCGCATGGCACTGGAAGGCATCGCCGAACTCGCGCGAGTTGCGCATAACGGCGTGCACCAACTGCCGCTTGCGCTCCTGCTGCAGGGGGCCCAGCTCAGAGCGACAGTCCACAAGCAGACTTCCGATGAAGTAGAGCCGCAGCAGGGTCAATTTCATCCGTCCCACGCCGAGAAGGGAGTCTATCCGTTGCTGCAGCGGCACCCTGTCCGGCTGCCTGAGCCACTGCTTGTAGCAGCTGAGGGCCTGTCGCTGGGCCAACAGACCCAGGAGCAGCTCGTTCGCGTTCACCTGGGTGGCCGAGATTCCGCTGCAGTTCTGGAATGCGGCGAACCGCCGCTCCGAGTCGGTACTGCGCCAGGCCCCCGGCGTACGGCTGTTGCTTCCCGCTGCCACCAGGCTCCTGGCAAAGTGCTCCGCCACCAGCAAGTGGTTGAGCGGAGAGCTGAGGTTCTGCTTTCCCAGCAGGGCGTTCACGCTGTCGAATATCTGTGCATACTGTCGCAGCTGCTGGCTCGACTGGGAGGGCGGCTGACGTTTGCGCTGGAAGCGCCGCAGCTTCTCCAGATTTCGGTAAAAGCTGCGCCGTCCCAGCACAATTTCTTGGTAGATGGCGTTCAGGCGCTCGTCTCCATTGAGGGTGAGGTGCATGATCCGGCCCAGGAACTGCTTCGAGCTCTGCTGCGAGATCTCGTCGACCCACACGCTCTTCGCGAGCTGCTCCGTGTAGGCTTTCCCCACCGCCGAGTACATCTGGGTGAGCTCCACCCGATCCGCACTGACCCTCTGCACCACATGGGCATAGATGTCCCCGGCGTACGTCTCCGCCAGCTGGTGACAGTCGGAGTCGACAACGTCTGCAAGAAAGGGCCAAGTTTGGCACGGCGATTGACTAATAGCCCACGCTTCCTACTCACCCATCAGATTGTCCGTCCAGATCCAGTTGAGCAGACGGTTCATGCTGGTGTTCTGCAGCAGCACGAAGTAGTCGACGAGCCGTGGCAGCTGCTTCACAACGATCGTGTCGGTGGCCTGCGGCGTCTTGCCGCCCAGCAGCTTCCTGAAGTAGCCGTCCCAGTCGAGTCTGGCCAAGGAGGCATTGCCGAAAGCACTGCGCTTGAAGTTCCCATAGCTGAACTGCACCTCATCCTCTATGAGGTCCGCCTTGAGAATCTCCCGGCGACTGCGCTCCAGGCTGAGCACTTCGAGCGCGGCCACATGAGCCCGACTCTGCTCGATGCCGAAGCTCTGAAGCAGCTCGCCCACCCGCTGCTCAAACCTCCTCATGGTGTGCCGTCGGGTGCTGTCTGGCCGGAGCACAACCAGCCTCTTGTTGGACTGCATAGTGAGCTCTGCAGTGAAGAAGTAGGGCGACCCCGCTTCGTGGAAGTGGCCCAGCAGTCCCAGCCAGCTTAGAGTCTGGTTTCTGCGGGCAGTGGCGTTCTGCTTGGCGGTCTCCAGCGCTGGCCAGCCGCCGCTCACCCTGTACAGCTGCGAGTTCTTCAGCGCATCCGCTCCGCGAGCGCTCTCGCAGGACTTGAAGAAGTTGACAAGCTGCAGCTCCATGTCCATAAGTTGCTCATCGTCGGCCACCTTGAGGAAGCTTTGGAAGCGATCCTTCCCCGTCTGGCTGAGATTGGCGCTTCGACTGCAGACATATCCGTAAAAGTCCTGACACGGCAGCTTGCTGGGGTCCAGATACTGCTCCAGCTTGTACGAGAAGTGCAGCAGGTCGTTCTCGACGCTGGCGGAGCTGTCTGCACAGCTCACGCACACCACCGCCGACAGCAGAGCAGTCAACACGCTCAGATACATTCTCCACGTGCTGTGTCTCTGGCGACTCGAATCGAAATGCGCACGGCCCTAGAGCACTTTTCACTGCCACTGCCACTGCAACTGCAACTGCCACAAGAGTGGACTCTGCCGCCTATTGCCTCGGAAAAGGTCAGTTTCTCAAAGGTCACAGCTAATTCCCCGGCGCACTTCCGCACACGAATCGTAATGCCCTGCTGGTCGTGTGTTTCCAGACTGAGGCACTGACCATAGCTGAGGCGCAATCCCAACTAATCGCGTTTCAAGTAGTTTACCCTGTCACTGGCAGTGGCACTGAGTCTGGGACGGGGACGTGGACTGGGAATGAGAATGGGACCGCGACTGCGACTGATAGCGATAACCCGATAGTTAGCCCAGCCCAGAAGCGGGCTGTGTGTAATCAAGTGTGTCAAAGTGTCAAGCATCGATGCTGGCGAGCTAAAATTGGTCATGGCCGATTTTGAATCGAATTGAATGTTCTTGAATGTTCCAAAATATTCCCCCTCCCCCAATAGCAGGGCGGAGGGATGGGATCCATATGCGATAACCCTAGAAATAACATTTTATAGCAATTTTATTGGCCACCGTTAACCTTTCTCATCCGTATCCTGTGCTCCGCTTTCAATAGGCGCTGTAGGAGGTGATGGCGGCGATGATGGCGATGACAAGGAAAAGGCAGAGGAGGAGGAGAGAGAGCGTCAGGAGGCCATCAAAGAGGCCGAGGACCGGCGCAAGGAGAAGCACCGGAAAATGGAGGAGGAGCGCGAAAAGATGAGGCAAGACATTCGCGATAAGGTGAGTGTTTGGGGTGGGAGTGATTAGTGATTAGTGATAACTGATCAGTGATTAGTGATTTGTGATTGAGATTTGTGGAAAGTGCACGGCCGGTCCGAACTTAAGACTTCCTGCAGCAGTTCAAATTGACTCTAGTAGGGAGTCCTTTTATCGAGCGACTCCCTAACGGAGTCAGATTGAATTACCAAGGAACAGACAACAGTGGAGCGAAACAACAACAAAATAAGTGTATCTGCTAAGAGAACCCTAGCCCTAGTCAACATCCGTACTCGTTCTGCATTTAATACTGGTTTCTGATCTGCCGATCATTTCATTTCGTATTTCCATTTGCCATATCCAGTACAACATCAAGAAGAAAGAGGAAATCGTTGAGGCGGCACCGCAAGAAGAGCCCAATCCTCTGATGAGGAAAAAGAAGACGCCTGAGGAACTGGCCGCCGAGGCGGAGCAGGAGGAGCTCGACGATTTCACAAGTAAGTCATTGTTGTTGATTCCGATTGCCCCCGACCCGACTGGCATCTAACTACTGCTGGTCCGACTCACCATCGGACCCGCCCCAATAGCTACTTTTGTGTATCTGTAACTGTATGCTCGTATGAGCTTTTCAGTTGATTTCCTTTTCGTTTTACAACCACTGCTCCAAGCGGCCACTCATGGGCCACTTGGGTCCAGACAATACCGAAACATGTTTGACTAGCAATCTACAGTAATCTACAGCTAAATACTCGATTAACCGGCGCTCGTAGTAGCAACTACTTGCTAACTTATGTATTGTATGTGTGTGTATATCTTCTGTGTGTCTCGTATCTAAATCTAACTGCAAGCGAACTATCCAACTCTAACTACTATCTGAATCTACTAACCAATGCTATCCTAAATCTATCTACTATACTCGTATCTGTGCTCTGTACTCTGTACTATGTTTCCTGTGCGTATGATATGTAAGCTCTAATCACCTATGCGTATACTAAACTCTAACTCTAACTCTACCTCTAACTTTAACGCTAACTTTAGCTCTAACTGCAAATCTAACTGTCCAAGATCTAAACTTCAACTGTAATGCAACGAATGAATATATACTTCTAATATGAACTACGTCTAAACTTACATTTACTCGTATAACAAGCGTGCACTCCATTTTCTCATTTCCTTTTCATAAGTTAATACGCTTCAGTTGGAAGTACATGTGTAGGTGTACGATATATGTACTCGCATATGCGAGTGGGTCTAGGACATCCGTGTGTACATAATGCATATGCTCGTACTTAGTTTCTTACAATTGATTTTCTCTGTTTTCTGTTTTTACACGTATTGTTTGGTATTGATATTGGTTGTTCCGTCACTGTACTCAAATGATATTGGGCTGCAACGGTTATCCTTAATTCGTTGCTAGAAGGCGGCGAAAGCCTCCGCGTTGTACTAGGTTTCATGTCATTCGATTAATTAGACTAAGGTAAGTGATACCATTCGTAAAACAGTATGTTGTTTCCTTTTGTGTGGTAATCTAATTGTAATACGTTTGTATTCATGAACTACTCCACACCTCCTTCACCACCAACAACAATTTTCGATTACTCTTGCTCACTTGCTCTATCTCTCTCTCTCTGCCACACTCTCTATCTCTCTCTGTCTCTCTGTAATTGAGTTTGAACAGAAGAAAAATACTTAGAAAACACCCAGAGAAGACTCCTCAACACACAGCTTTAGAGCTCCCACACGAATACAATAACCAATAGTAGATACATAGATATGTATGTAGAATAAACGGGAAAAGGTTAGGTATGGTTAGAGAAGTTAGGTGGGGTGGGGTGTTGTGGGGTATTGTGGGGTGGGTATGAACCAGTGTAAGATTAAGTTTCGAATTATTTACAACATTTACAATATTATTTGAATACATCAAACTCACAAACTGCACTTTTAATAACTGATAGCGGCTTGTATGATTTCCTACTACTATATAACTACATATAATGTTTCTAAACACTTGAACTTTAACTTAAACTTTAACTTTAACTTTAACGGCTTGCGTGCTTAACTGCATCCTGAAACTCCTGAACACTCGTAACAAAGTAAATGTGAACCAAACCAAACCAAAGCAAACAAATACAAACCAAACCAAACCAAACATGATGAACTCCAACCAAACATAATTATGATCGAAAAAGGACGAGCAACAAATACAAAACTTTTTCCCTCTCGTTTACTCTTTCCCTTCAATATGTGTGCTATATCTATTTTACACCATGGCCTATCGTATGTAATATATATATAATGCACATATACTGCATATGTATGTGTATTTCCACCGCACCGATCTCTCCTCTCCACATCTTGCCACTACCATCTACGATCTCCTTCTCTATCTCTCTAACTCTCTAACTCTACCTAATACATACACAGAAGCTGACACTGACCGTGACTACTTATACATGCATACATACTATACCAAACACGACAGTATCTACAACTTCGTTTCGATTCGTATTTGACTTTCCTACGGCAAGTGGTCCACGCCATCCCCTTACCACACCCAAGTATCCCGCCAAATTGAATACTTAGACATGGCTACGGCGACTGTACCCAACACAACATTTACAGCTACCCACCCGTAAAAGTACCGCTACAGTGAAACAGTTACAGTACATGGTAAAACGTACAACGTACTGGGTACATGTACACTAGCATCCATAAATACCAAATACATATACATAACAGTTAACATGCCTAACATTTGTAGTCTACTCTACAAAATATGCTTATTTATTGCTGTTTCCATACTCAATTTCTTTTACAGAACTGAAAAATCAAATAGAAACGCAAGTAAATGAGCTAAAAACTCAAATAGAGGGAAAATGTGTCATGCAGTGATATGTCAGTCATCATAAAAAGCTAAATAAAGTAATAACAGAACAAAAAAAAACCGTATAATAGCAACACACGTAACAATTCGAATAAAGCCTAACCGATGAAAACGAAATTTATTTAACGCATCCCGAACTTGAATTTGTTAATATGAGATCTGTTGAGTTTAATCATTGGAGCCACAATCGAAACGAATATAAGTCCTTAGAAAGCTAACCCAAAGCTTCATAACTCGTAACGTAACCCGGCAGCAATAAATCGAACTTAATCGAGCGATCCGATCTACTCTACGGAGCTTGTGGCAAGGCCTGTATGTCCTAACAGCTAAGGTCCGATAACAGAGTAGTAATGAAAGAGAAATGCGAATGCGAATCAAAATGCGAACAGGACGGTGAACTCCTAAGGAATTTTATTGTAGCTAAAGTATAAACCGAATTATTTAAAACCAAATACATATAGTAAACGCCTTTAATAATATTCAAATCACTTTGCTTCGATGATAATGTAATATACTCAAACCCAATATACAATACATAATACATAACCGTTGTTTAGTTGATAACATACAATAAAATAACGAAACGAAACTAAACTAAATGAAACTAACGAAACGGTACGATGCGATGCGATCCGATGCGATGCAAAAACCAAATCGAAACTAAACAAAAAAAAAAAAAAACATTAAAAAATATAAAAGCATCAAAAACAAATAAACAAATAAACACCTAAAATAAGCAAAAAGCTAAGAAAAAAATAAAAACCAATTAAGCGAATGGTGCGGCAGAGGAGGTTGCTGAATCATGTCGAACCGTCGAAATCCGTTGCTGAAAACACTTTGGACTTTATTCCATAATTGAGTATGGGAAGATTATGAACTAAATCGGCGCATATGTTGTAATTGCCATTCGAATATATAAGTATATATATATACACATGTTATGTATATTTCCATGAATTTAACCACAGAAAATTAATCACATTTGCAAAACGAATTGACTGCAGAGACGTTGAAATTATTGCTGGTTCTCAAACTGATCCCATGATCTGATCGCCTACAATTCAAGAAATCCAAACTATAAAGTATCAAGTTTCAGTCAGTTTGTTTTCGAAATTGCCAGAGAAATCTTCTTTAACAGCTGTTACATTCTGTTTCTTTCCTATACAAAAATACATACCCACACTACAATTGAGAGTTTAAAATCTTTCGAGACAGTTACTGATCTCACTGATTGATGCTTCTGAAATGTAAGTAAACTAACTAAATATGTACCTTTACCTATACCTATACTATACCTATACCTATACCTATACTTATATACCCTACCTATACCAATATACATTGAACATTGCCGAACTTGAGTTTCATTTCACATTTGTTTCGTATTTACACACATCTGTTGCGTTATTGGTTAGGTGACGGCTACGAGTATTCCGTAGGAAATATTGTATAACAATATATATTAACATAAACAACAAAATATTAGCTGTAGTCGTTTAGACAAGGACAATAGCTTATAAGAGACGCTAGGCAGTTCGAGAGCATAATGCTGTGATACATTTAGCATACATTTTTCACCGATAAGCGCACACGCCGGCCCCCAGGTCGGACCCACCCACACCACACTACACCTCAGTAGATCAGAAACCGAACACAAAACATCAACAGAAACAAAAACAGAAACAAGCCTGCAAATGGTCCAAGTCTGGTAAATAAAAAACAAAGATATCATACGACTGCGACATATTCCCAAAGAATACGATGCCAGGACCCAGGGAAATCCCTTCACAGTGCCAGGACCCATAAGCTGTTGATCTCTGCGTCGTCCGCTATACCGTCGCATACAGCTGTGAAGGTTAGGCACATGCCACATGCCATTTACATGCCAACTCTCCCACACAGTCTACACACATGCCACCAATATTGTACATATAAATACATACATACATACATATAACGATAGTTAACCGAATTCTTCTATGGCATAGAATGCAATATTGTGTGCATGGGTGTACGTACGTATGTATTTACATAGATAACGAGCCATGCCCGTTCCAAATCGGTCCTGTGGCATAGCCAAAGATGGATTTTCATTTGCATTCGATTTGGCTCGTAAGCGGCTCGTCCTATACATATGTATGTATGTGTTATCAGCAATATACCATCCGTTACATATCACTGAAATATACATCAACACCATCCTCATCATCATCCGAACAACTGTTTCACATTTGTATAATTCCTATCAATGACTGTGTACGCCTTTGGGGTATGGTATCGCTTAAAGCAATTACAACGCATGCATATGTATATAAATATATGCAATGATATATACTTTTAAGCATATATGTACATATGTATTTGTGTACAATGTAGATGGGACAGTTGGAAGGACATTTGTGATCCGGTTGACCGGAGTTAGATATCCTCTTAATTATCAGTCGAAAGCATTATTTTTAGTCGATATATAAGTACATACAACTAAAACTAAATAATATACATACAAATATGAATAAATGTTTTAATCACACTGCATTCTATATATATATAAATATCTCTCTCTCTCTTTCTCTGGTGTCTCTCTCTCTCTCTCTCTTTCTCTTCTTTTGATTTAAAACACTCTCTTAAATCTTTAATCTGCGCCACTTCTACTCTGCCTAAAATATTTATATCTGAAAAAACAACTTGAACAACATTTGCAACAACACGAAACAACAACAACAACAACTCTACCAAATCTCCACAACTACGACTCGATGGTCCCTCTCAGACATGTACTCTCGGTGTTTTATGTATGATAATATCATCATCAACAACAACAACAAGAACAACAGCACAAGAAAACCACTAGAGCCAGTACAACATCAACATCAACATCAACATCAACTACATCTACAGCAAAAGTAACTAACAAAAGTAATGTTATGTTATGTTATACATCATATGTATGTATGTACACTGTACATAAATGTATGTACGAGTTGAAATACTCGTTATCGAGACAACTACAACAACAACAACTACAAAAGCCCACAGCACAGCCAACAACAACATGAACATGATGAACATGAACATGAACATCAACTCAACATCAACTCAACATCAACTCATGACAGTTTGCTACAAGTTTTTCCTTAACATATTTCTGAACGTTGTGAACTTAATTTGTACAATATATGGCTAATCTTTAAAGGCATACATACACACACACCCACATTACAGTTACACATGCATATAAGTACATACATCCACAGTACATCCACACTAGACACATGCATTTAAATAGCAAATATGTATGGTGTTGTAAATGCTTAATCTACATACATACATACATACATGTGTACAGATCCAAGAACAATACCTACCAACCACCAACAAGAAATATATATGTACAATTCGCATAAAAAAAGTTACCATATAATGAAAATAGCAAAAATGCATATGATGTTATGTTATGTTATGTGATGATGAACAATCAATATATTATATACTAGTAGAGGAAGGGGTGCCGAGACAAGCGTCTAGTCTATCAGTCAAAACATCGCTCTCAGATTCTTCTAAACCATTCTTGACTTCATATGTTTCTTGTACACATATCGGCGCGGCAGCAACGCCTCAACGCCTCTCTCTGTCAATCTAATAAAGCAATCCCCTAGTGCCCCCATCGCTCCCTACAAAGTTAGGAACGATCGAACTAATGAAAGAATGCCTTAACGTGGCTCACATGACTAGACCATGAGTAGCAAATACATAGATGAATACGATGATGATGATTTTGATGATGAGGATGAAAATAAAGATGAAGATAAAGATGGTGATTCTACCAAAGGAAAAGGAATCCACAATTCTTAACTGTTACTTTAACCCACTTGTACTACTAGAGCTACGATACTACTTAGCTGCGTTTCCCTTCCGCATTCCAATCTAGTTTTACTAAATCCGAATCCAGATACTCGTATCTTAGCTAATAGCTATGCTCCTTTCCAACTCGAAACTCTATAAGCTCTATAAAGTAAATACGTATTGAAAATGTTTACCTAGATTCTACAATATCCATTGCGTTATTCTCTCAGATACTTATACGATGTTGACGGGCAGTTGAATTGTTTAATATATTGAATAAACATTAATAAAGAAACCGAAACAAAGGCAACTTGAAACATACAATATTATTCAATCATTATCAAGTTTTTAACGTAATCATAAATGTTTAAGATGTTAAATGGTTCAGCCGATTTTAATTTAATTTTGTTCATTTGTTTAATATTGTGTTACCGTTAATATTATAGTTATGATAATGTATGTATATGTATATCATAAAGTTCATAAAAGCAGATAATTATACATTATTATATATATATATATATATATATATATATATATGTGTATAAATATATATATATATACATGTATATGTGTAACTTAATAGGGAAATGAATTTAATAGAGAAACAACAGACAAAAATTATAAATAATAATGTTGGAAAGAATACCATTCAAGTCATTATTAGATGTGAAAGCAGTTCTATACACAACAAAAGGATAAACAAAAACAAAAAAACAAAAAAAAAACAAAAACAAAAACAAAAAAACAAAGACAAAACCTAAGGAAAGCGTTAATAGTTGATTAATTATATTGTTACTTTGAACATTTAATTCAAACCAAACCAAAGAAGAATAATAAAAACAATATATATATGTATAAATATATATGAAAAAAAAACACAACAATACATTGGGTTTTAATTCCAAGGCGGCATTACCCCGAAGACCCCTCGAAACACGTCAAGCGACCCGAACCCCATACATGTCCTACTATCTACACTGTGACTTTCTGCCTGCCCGATATCCGATACGTATAGCGATCTTGATTTGGCATGACTGTTAGTCTATATGTTTTTCTATATGTGTGTGCGTGTCTCTATCTCTCTATGTCTCTCTGCCTCTGTCTTTCTGTCTCTGTCTTTCTGTCTCTCTATCGATCTGTCTGTACCTCTATCGATCTATCCACCTCTACCTATCTCTTGTATCTCTGTGTCTGTTTACGTACCTCCAAATTTTCCACCTTCCACTTCCACTTCAGAACCATCCATACATATTGTACGTGCCTACAGGTGCATCCACGTGTTTGTGTGTCAGATACATACATATACATATGTACAATAAGTATGTCAATAGGCTGAGGTGCTGGTGCTGCTGTCTGCTGCCTATCTCTATTACAAAACCTACCTACTCTATTCTATTGCTAAGAACACTGTAAAAAGATTGTGTAATGGAATGTGCTACGTTATCAAATATGTATTAAGCACATGCCACATGCCATGCAACAAGAATCTGCGTCTGCATTAGCCTCCAGATCGGCTGGGCCAAGCATGGGCCATGAGGCATGAGGTAAAGGTGAGTTGCGTGTGTCATCCAAGCCCCTCTTCCTTAAACGCGCATCAGAGGACTTCAGTAAGTACTCGTACATGTATGTACAGGCACATGTACCCAAGAGTTTCGATTTTGTTAAGCTGTGTAACTTTTATGTTGTATAACCACCCACTTCGTTGCCTGGGTAAAGGTAGGTACTGGCGCCTACGCCAATCTATTCCTTTTCCATTTCTCATCACACCACATTGACTCAGACTCTCAGCCACAGCCACAGCCACTGACGACAAAGTTGAAGACCACAGCAGATTGAAAACAAAAGTCCCTTAGGGCACATATACTCGTACTGAGAGGGTGAAAACAATCAAACTCCGAACAAACTCTACTCTATCATTTCTTGAATTATTCTTGCAGTTGAGTTTTTATTGCAGTTTTACATGTCACCTTTGTAGGCAATTTTACTAAGTTATCAAAGTTGTTCCATTCCGTTGGTGTTCGTGTTAACTGATTTTGTCTTGTTTCTACTTTCAGCCAAGTTGAAAAAACGTCTCAGTGATGCTTTCAAAAATTGCCCATTGAGAAACTTGTTCTAAACAAGACCCAAAACGAAAAGATGAGAGTCCTACGATGATTCGGTCTCGGTTTCAGATTACACAAATGCATGCATACGGGAGTACCCGTAAACAGCCCGTACAGGTGAACAGTACGGGTGAACAGTACGGGTGTACGGGTGGTGTCCGGTCAATGCGTGCATGAGAGTAAGAAAAACAACCGGCTTCGGCTAGCCGAAGCTCACGTGCTCTTTTAACCCTTCAACGTGCATTATCTGCCTGCTCTTGTTCGGCCCAGGACATGCCATGGTGGCTATACTATGTAACTTGTGTCTGAACTAGGTTTACATCGACAACATCCATTTTAAAATGGCAATACATACGTACCCGGGAAGGTACCCAGCTATATGACAATTTTATTGAAGTCCCCCCTTCGAGATAAGCAGCGGACTTCATTTTGAAGTACCCCATTTCGTTATTACTTACGAGTAGAGTGTTTGCAAGTTGGATATTTGAATAGTAGTAGAACTAGTGAATTCACTTGAGTGCTTTGCAACGCACAATGATGCAGTTAGTTCCTTTGTACTCCAACGATAAGCCAAGCTACATACATACATACACACATACGTTATATATTTTAGGGACCGCTCGAAATCCGATTACCCCGTAGGCACAACGATTAGAGGATAGCAACTTTACGCTAAATCTACTTACCAACAGACTAGAAAGAAGTACTCGAGTACGAGTACATTTAGAAACAAAGTGTGAAAAGTCAATGATGAATAAACAACGAGATTAGTTTAGATCAACTAGAATAGCATATTCGCCGCATACCATACCAGACCAGACCAGTCTTTCAACGGTGCCGGGGGCACATTCTCAGAGCATTCATTTGCGAGTATTGTAGATGGTTCGAGTGTTTTCGTTATATGCCAAACACATACATATGTAATTCATAAGATTTTCAAAGTACCTGAAATTCCAATGACCCTAGTGGAAGTCTAGTATTAGGTTAAGGTCCTTGAAATGATCAAAAGTATTGCTGAGTTTAGACGATTTCTGATAGACATACATACATACATACATACATATGTACAATCTGCTCAATCATTCTTCTATGTATCTGCGTATTTCAACCGATATTTCACATTTCCATGCGAATAATTACGATTACTCAATAATTGCATACATACATATTTATATGTATGTACATATGTATGTGCATACATATGTATGTATGTATGTGTGGCATAGTAAAAAAAAACAGATTTGATTCGGCTCGCCGATGCTTAAATATCTTTTCCAACAGTCCTACAGATGTAAGGGATGCCACAACTGTAAGTCCGATCGGAAGGATACTCTAACTTCATGTGTTTTATGGGTCTGGGACTGTGTCTGTGTCTGTCCAGGCCCAACCATATGCAGGCGCTTGGAAAAGATATCTGCCGTTTTTACAACAATCATTCAATAATACAATCATACGAGTATCTATACCTAAACGATTTCGTGTCTTAATTTTGAATATTACATGATTTTACAAGTTAATGATGAACGATAAACGATAAAAGAGATTCCAAAATGTGAAAACACGAAAATTCGGAAGAAAACGCAAAAACAAAAGCAGAAAGCAGAAAACAGAAGCAGAAGCAGAAGTAATTATAGCCTAAGTATATATAATTTACATACCAAAATGACCGACTGAAATTATTGTTAAACGTTTTATGAACTATACTTGCATATATACATATATTGATATGATCAAGTAAAAGAGCAAAGAAAGAAAATAAATAAAGAAATATATATACAAGAAATTCATATGAATATATTAAAGTTTCTATACCTTAATCAACCATAAATTTGCGATTCAATATATACATGCAAACCCCTTAATATAAAGGTAGATGAACGAAATCAAATTTTAAAGATGCCGCGACGAGCATACCCGAAATAAAATTAGTTATCTAGGGCCATATACAATTGATGCCAAGTCGAACAATAGTTTGGATTTAGGCAGATTCAAAATCGAAAATATGTACTTTCATATATAATTTAATTTTATAAAATAAAAATCCAGTTTCGGCAACTAATCCTCTGGTTTGATCTGATCCGATCCGATCTGATCTGATTCGTGTAAAAGTTGAAACCGAAAGCAGCCCAAGAGTCCTACCAAAACCAATTCTATGAAGCCTCTCGTCTATGCTAGAACAATGAACGATTTAGATACCAAGTAAGGTCTCGAAATTTCCCAAAAGCATCTTAATAATAGTTACCATCTAGCCAGTTATTGAAGTTCAACTTAGCATTCGCGTTTACCTAAGGCGACTGGTTCTGTCGAAGAATACTACTCATTGGCCTCTGTACGAGTCTACGTCTACCCACGCGGCCAAGTGCGTGGCATTGTTCCGAATTGGATTGTATTCCATTGTATTGTATTGTATTGTATTGCATTGTAATATGTTGTATTGTATTTACTGTTGGATTGTATTTTAATATAGAACGAGTTAATTTCCAATAAAGAGTTTTTAAATGCATTATGAAACACACATCCCTAGCCTTGCTATTGCGTTTCTTTTTCCCTGTGGGATTGGTGGCAGATACTCGTAGCATGCGAAATTAAATAAAGAGCAGGCGCCCACACACAGACCTCCTTCTCTCCGTCCACGTCTTCCGTTGCTGGATGCTTTTATTGGAATTTGGTAAAACTCTTCCCCAACATTTCAGGCTGCTGTCTTTTGCGAGTCCGCATTGTTTAGACATAAAATTCCAAAGTGTTTGGAATTCAGAGACTTTCTGTGCCCCATGACGATGCTGTCGTGCTCTTGGCGTCTTGGCATTGTCCCAGTCATTGTCGCTGCAACACAGTCATCATACCAATATCGGCCAAAAGGTCGAGGGTTGGGCATGTAGATGGAAGATGGAGGAAAAACTTCCTTGTCATGGCGCACGTTCAACAAATCAATACAAAAAGTACTTGCGATTCCAGCTGGCATATTTCGTTTAATTAAAAAAGTTCATCGCTATTTCGGAACAATTGATTCCTAAATTGACATCGTTGACATTTTAATGCGTTCGTTTCCGCTTGTCACTTGATTTACCGTTTATAGACTTGGCATCAACATACATTCGTAACCGTCGCACCGACCGCCTCGCAGAGATGAGCCCTGGATGACCTAAAATGCGAAACATTTGTCAGGAGTCGTACTGAAGGGCCCCCACTTCGTAAGGGTACGGCACTGGACAAGGGTATGGAGGACTCATAAATAATGCAGAAAACGCTTTTAATTATACAAACATACCTGCCGACACCCCACACCATACATCCAAATCCACACAGAACTCTTTGCGGTCAGCCAAGTGTGAAGCACCGTGTTTATTAGCCCAAAACAACAGCATCGCCATCGCCATCGGCGCCAGATAGCCCCGCTCAAGCTGCTCCTGCTCCTGCCGTACAGACTCCACTTTAATTTAATACAAGTAGGAGTAGCCGAACGAGCCACACACCAGAGGTAATCTGGAGGTAAACCCTAATGAAATGCATTGTCAAATGAAATGGTAAAATTGACGACGTCCACTCTCTCCTCAAGTGGCCAATGGCATTAAATCAGCAAACTAACTGCCACTAAATAAACAGACACACACGCAGCCACTCAGAAGGTTGCCGCCTGGAGCTGGAGGGTACGCTCGGCCCGCTCGGCCATTCGCATCCTTCCAGCTCGATCTAAACTTAAAAGCACTTGTAACAAATTGAAATCATCCATCTTACTTTTCGCATTCATTTGCACTCTCACCCTGACCGTCACCCTAACCCACTCGAGCCAGCCATCCAGCTTCCGCCCACCCCAGCACTCGCACTTCCCCACCAGCAATTTCTTGTCCGCCTGGTCACCCAGCAGCTGTATGAACGAGTAAGTGGTGGCATTTGGATGGCATTTGGGGGATGCCCCGATGGGTCGACACACATACGAGTCCGTGTGTATGCCCGTTCACATGTACATATGTATGTATACATACTGCTGCTCGTACTCATGCCCATATGTCTGCGTTTGTACGTACATCAATATGACAATTGTATGCGAGTATTCAGCACATTACATTCAGTAATTTCAAGAGTGAAAACCCAGATGACTCAGCGTTGATCAGTCGGTGGGAATTCACCTTGATTCGTCTCTGTATGTGCATAAGCAAGTGCAAGATTATTGCATGCTTGTGCTTATTTTAATTAAATAATCTGTCTGTGCGCATATGTATGCATGTTGCGTATTTGTATGGTTATTGCCGTTCCGTGGAACTCGAACTTCCCAATTATTTTGTTCATACATGAATAATTACATATTTACTAATAAAGTTTAGGAATGATTCCGGTATTTTTTTTGCGCCGAATGGCAAACATGTTCCAAAATCTCATCCTATTGCGTGCTGCTTACTGGGCTTATCTGACTGGTTTTTTCATTCGGTCGGACAAAGAATATCTCTCAATATTAAACAATGACAGATTGCTAACAATAATAATTTTTATTAGAGAGGCGTTGATTTTAACGCCCGATCCATTCAGTTAAGTTAAAGTTAAAGTAACTAATCAAGAGCTCGACGAATAATGTGTGTGAAATTTCACGTTTATATCTTGACGATTTTTGGGTTCTGGAATATAGTTTTGGGCTTAATAATAGCCTATTTTCAAGCAAACGAACTTGATTCTTTTTGTAAGTATTATATATAAGTTCATGTGTCATTCTTTAGATTAATTCTATAAAATTAATTTTAATGAATTTTCATGCATTTTAGACGATTACTACGAAGTGAAAGGTTTTATTGGATTTTTTAATTCTGCAGCAGATCTACCTGACCCATTATTATACGAACAACAATTTAAAATAAATGGTCTCTTCTTCGAAATACTTCCTCTAGACGTCTACAAGGGACTTTTCCCCATAGGTATATTACTGGGAGTTCTGCATACCGGATCAGGGATATTAACGTTGCTTGGTATAAGAAATGTGAGTTAGCATTTGTGCAGCGATCAGCTTTCCATTCTGATCTACTCACTTGTGCCCCTCCAGAAATGTAGGATATACTTCTCTACTGGGTTAGTTCTAAGCAGCTTCCTTCCATACTTCATGGTTTTCTTGTACTTGTGGAGTAAGTATGGCGACTTTGTTACTCGAATGAACGAAATGTACTCAATTGCATTTTGCTTAAGCATTTCAGATTATTTTTACCATCCTAGCCTGTCGACACGTGATCAACGATTTGAATTGGATCGACTAGGCCTTTTTTAAAAGGTATGGAAGCCGTAGCAAACAGAGTTTAATAGCACACTGAACCAATTTAATAATCGGTTAATTTAATTTAAAAAACAAAATGATTAACATGTTTTTTTTTTATCTGCGTTAATATAAGCAATTTTTTTGCTGCACATGACCTCGAACTCCCATAACTCTTTATTACAATATACCGGTCATACGTGGAGAGCGATAATTCAAAAAATTTTGTGAGAAATTTAACCAAACATTGGCACTTAAAATTTGTATCCAGATACAAAAACAAAATTAATTAAATGGGACGACCATATCATATAGCTGCTTTCTTATTTTATTTTAATTTCCATTTTAAATGTATATTAAAATATTGAAATAACATTTTTTATTCAATATTAATACGAGTGGATCTTTATTCTCGGTATACCGCGGTCCATGAACCTTAGGACCATCTACTACTATTTCAATAAACAGCAGATTTCATGGGCATTTGTCTAAAGTCAACAAAAAATTAAAGGGCTATAAAAACACATTTCCATATAATTCTTTCGCGATATTATAGTCTAAATTTATTGAACGACAATTGACATATAATTTCAATAACTTTGATGTGAAAGTCTCAACTTCCGCTGAAATATGAGTTAGAATTGATCGCCACGAAATCGACCTTAGCACCAGTTATAGGGATAGTCAAAAGGTGTGTCATAAAGGTAAAACAAATTTGAAAATCCGTCTTATTTTGACCTTAGGATGTCTAGGCTTGTATATATTTTGTATATATGTATGTATATATGTATGTATATATGTACGCTTCCAGTCTTTCAAATTGAACAAGTGATATCTTTTTAGAAAGTAATCAATTTAACCCTGAAGAAATTCCATTGCATTTGTTTTCCATATTCTTGTTTAACATGACTTAAGACAAATACCGATCAAATCTGCTGTTCATAGAAATAGTAGTGCTAAGTGTAGGTTAGGTTAGGTTAGGTTGTCCCGGACGGCCCTCACGGGGCCACGCATAGGCCAATATGGCCCTTAGTTGTCCGGATTGGTGCGTATGGACCTTCTGAGTGTTTTTACGCGGTTTTGAAATCCGTGAGGATCGAGGAGAGTTTTGCAAAGGCAAGGAGTTTCGCTGGCGTCCTCTTGGATGCATCTTCCAGCGATGCCAGTGCCGGGCTGCCAAGATGTATGTTTCTTGCCCTTGAGAGGGCCGGGCATTGGCAGATTAGATGTTCCAGGGTTTCGATAGCCCCAGATTCATCACATTTCCTGCACTTGTCACTGTTGGTGATGCCTAGTTTGACTGCATGTGCTGCAGCCAGGCAATGACCTGTGAGTATACCTATTAGCATCCTACAGTCCTTCCGTGGTAGGTGTAGTAGGTATTGGCTGAGTTTACCATTGCTCTCCTTGCACATGGTTTTCGCGATCTTGCAGTTGGTGGTTCTCCTCCACCTGCTGCTGGTCTGTATGTGTGCCCTCCTTTCTAGATCGCTTTGGAGCGCTCTGAGGGAGACAGGCACGTTCTCAGTCCTGTCGTTTGCCAGCCCGACGCCTTCCTTAGCCAGTACGTCTGCTGTCTCGTTGCCTTCGATGCCCTGGTGGCTGGGAACCCAATAGATCCGCACTGACTTTGTCGTGCTTAGGAAATCTAGTGCCTCCCTGCTTGCCAGGACATTTTTGGAACTGACCGCTGACGACTGCATGGATCTTATCGCCGCCTGGCTGTCCACGAACAGGTTGATCACATTATGTGGCCGTTCCGTACATCGAGCAACCTCCGCCGCTTTCCGTATGGCAAAGACTTCTGCCTGGAATATGCTGCATTGGTCCGGTAGCTTATAGGACAGCCTTATTTCAGGGTCTGTACAATATATGCCCGCACCTACTCCTCCTCCATCTTGGAGCCATCCGTGTATATGTTTAGGTGTTCGTTCTGGTCCCAACTTTCTTTCCAGTCGTCGGGTTCCATGTGTATCGCTGTTTTGACGTCCAGGCACGTTCGGGGGATCATGTAGTCAGATATACTGATCATGTCTCGGCCTATTGAACTGTGCCCGAATCCTTGCAGCGACATATTGCCTGATGCGACTAGGCGTTGTGCTGCCTTACCTGCAGTCAGTCTAGCGTGGATGTCTAGGGGGTCAATTCCGAGTATTGTTTCGAGTGCTTTTGTTGGGGTTGACCTCAGCGCCCCAGTAATGTAGAGCAGTGCCTGCCGCTGAGTTCTGTCCATCAGCTTGTTGTAGGTTTTCTTTTCTGTAGCCTGCCACCACACTAAGACTCCATACAGCAGAGTCGGTCGCACTACCGAGATGTAGATCCAGTGCATTAGTGCAGG